CCAGTGGGGGGGGGGGCGTGAAATCACAAAAAAAAATTCAATGGTATCATCCGGGCGAGGCCGGCATCTTGATGTGCGAGGAACGCTCGATCGCCGCTCCTTCTACGCCCCGGGTGTCACACGAAAACGCCCAGCTTGTTCTCGACAGAGCCGTTCGATTTCACCGGGAAGTGACGGTCGCTGGTGGACTCTTCGGTCGCACAACGTTTTCCATATCGAGGGCTAACGTGATATTAGTTGACGTGCAACGCAACACTAGCCAGTCTAGGGCGAGTGAAGCAAACCGGAATCCTGCTGTTGCACCTCACCGTCGAAATCGAAGGCGAACACGTTGTCATTGCGAGCGGAGGTCCCCAAAACTGTCGACGAACCCTCCCGGCCCTGCCCGTGGAGTTGTGGATGTTGCTGCTGCTGGGACATGCCCTGTCGCCTGCAGGTCGAGGCCTGGGAAGCGAATGGGGGGAGGGGGGGGGGGTACAACATGCACACCGGGCGTGTGTAGTCGACCAATGAACGTTGGTCGGGTTCATTGCTGCAGAGTTTTTCGTGGTTCCGTCGCTGCTTGTTTCGCTCTGGCACTGCTCAAGACAACAGCAACACGTGATTGGTGCATACAACTCGAATGTGTGTTTTCAAGTTAACCGTCACTACCGGGTGGGCTTACATACATACCATGAAATAGGAAAACGTCGTCAACCCATCTACTTCGTACTTGAAGTACGTGAAGGGCGAGCCATTCCAAACCCCGTATGTACAAACCGACGTTCAAATCTAAAGTGTTCCACAACAAAGAGGGTTGGTCCACGAACCAACCGATGACGTGCAACTTTCCGAAACCACGCCTTTTGGCATCGGCGGTAACCTGTTGGCCGTTGAGGAATCGAGCTATTGCTGTATGATAAGAAAACCGCGGTGTGCCACTGCTCGTCTCTCTAACGGTGTAGTCTAGAGTCTTCCAAGCACAGGAGTATTTATCATGAAAATGCACAAGAAAGCGGTGCAGAGACTAATACCGCAAGCGTATGCAAGGATGGGATAGTAGTGATCCCTCCCAACCAAACACCGTACCTGAGAGATATGACAGTCCGGCAACACCAACGGCTGTAGCTTGTACCACAAGACGGCATAGCGAGTGTATAATCGCGGAACTAGACCATCCGACTAGTCAGCGCTGACTAGTCGTTAAAAGATATGCTCAGAGCTCGTTAGCACCCGGCCGGATCACATGGGCTTGGGAATGAGTAGAGATCTCCGGGGACGGACCCCTCTCCAGACGCCGCTGTTTGGTAAACAAATGGCGGTTCTTGTGTAAGTGGACCACTGGGATTCGAACCCGTGCGTGGAACCTTGTGTAAGAAAGCTGCTGACCATTATAGACCGCTGAGTCAGCGCTGACTAGCCGGATGGTCTAGTTCCGCGATTAAAGGATTCCCGCACGAAGTTCGAACACCGGCCGGATCATTTTTCTTTGCATGTGAACTACCATTGTCAGAACAGCAGTGCATGGCGAGGGGTTCTTCCCCGGAGATCTCTACGCTCAATCCCAGTGATTAAGCTTCTAACAGCCTCAAGCCCATGTGATCCGGCCGGGTGCTAACGAGCTCAGCGCATATCTTTTAATCGCGGAACTAGACCATCCGACTAGTCAGCGCTGACTACCGTATATGACACAAGATAACACACCCCCTTGGCCGATTTTCAAAGCTCAATTTCTCAACAGCAGGAAGAGTCACAGCGCCGAAAACGGCGGCGTTGGAACCGTCTCGTCGAGAGCTGTTCGAAAACGTATTGTTTCGTTTATGCATCCTCTTCGTCGTGGAGTAATCGAGCTTTGAAAATGGGTCCAGGGGGTGTGTTATCTTGTGTCATATACTGTAGTCGGATGGTCTAGTTCCGCGGGCTGTAGAGGCTGTAGACTAAGTCTAGAATCAGTAGAACAACCGTCGTACTGTACGTAGACCCCGTGTCCGAGGCATGACTTTCTATCCACCGAATCGCTGTCGAAGCCTCCCGGCAAAAATGCAATTTGCAGCAGCTGCTGCTGCTGCTGCTGCTGCTGGCTGATTCCAAGGGGCTTCGATCCAGTATGACACATGAACGAACCAGGCGACGGCTTCAAGAAAACCGGTGGGCATTCGGCAGCATGTTACTCCCAATGTACCTGTATCGGAAACCTTCCACAAGGAGGTGCAAAAGCGCTGGCCCGATGAAACAGTAGGCAAGCCGCACTTGAGGCTGCCCTTCTCAGTACCATCACCACCCCCACCCCCCCTCAGCACTGCTGCGCTATGCGGAAGTGAACCAGACTGCACAGACAGAGACAGAGATCCTCCGGCGGGGGCTTGACGGACAGCGGAATAGTTATAGTGTACACCTCTCCCCAAGTCGGAATACTGCACGCGTGAGCCCCCCAGGCGCAACTTCACATCATTGTTCCGCCACGCTGTGCTCGCCGCTCTCTCTCAAGCGAGTGCGACCTTCGTTGCGCAACTACTCGTTCAATCAGCGCAGTCATCACAGCCTTGCTGCACTCTCCCGTCTTTCAACGTAAAGCGCAAGCGTTAGAGGAGAGGAAAGGAGGAAAAGCGAAATTACCAAGCGACCGAAAAACGCGGCGTAACTTGTCGGCGGGAGCATGGCCGACTTGGATGCCTTCGAACAGTCACCGCCGTCTACGCCACAGCAGGAGCCGCCGCTGCCGCCGCCGCCGCCGCCGCCACGAGACATCAACCCTTTCGGGCAGCCGGCAACTCCAGAGTCGAAGGAGGGCAACGAGGTTGATTTGAATGCCTCGCTCGAACCCCCTAGGCCTTCGACTCCTCCGCCGCCGCCTCCGATCCCTGCGAGAGAAGCGGCGGGATCGGAACACAGCGAAGCATCGGCTGCCGCGCCTGTCCTCTCCCCTCGTCCGCCCAGTTCCCCACCCCCTCCTCTGCCTGGCGGCGGCGGCGGGTCGGGGGTTGGTGCACTCGGGTCAGCAGCGGTATCAGCGGCGACAGCAGCTGTGTCCGCTAGCGGGACCACGGGGAAGAGAAAAGGTGCGATGTGCGCCCCTGACTGGACAGCAGTAGAGCCGGTGTTGTGTTGCACAGCTGTAGGTAGACAGGCAAACTCTCTTGTCATGATCGAGAACAACAGCGCCTTTTTTTCACCTCTGTGCGACAGATTGTAGAACGAGCGTCACAACGAGTACACCGAGGCGAAGCATGATGCAAATATTGTCATGTGGGTACAGTAGTATTGCGTTGAGGGACAAGTGGTGGTATCCGACGCGTGGACTATGCGTATCGTAGATGTATGTTGGGTCGTCGCTGCAAAGGATGCGCCATCTGCCGGTAGGGCACGCGGCGCGCTCTCCATGCACGACATTTTCGCAGTCGCGCAGCTGTCCCGGTTGTGCCTGACAGAGAACGGCGCTGCTTGACAAATACCAGAGACCGTTGTTTACTGCAAAAACTGAACGGTGCACCTCCAACATACACGGGCACACATGTAGACCGTTTCACCAACAATTTAGGTGTACTGCCACTGCTGTGCTGCTGCTGCTGCTTTTGTTGTTTGTTGTGTATTTTCGTCCCATCCAGTGCGGGCGCCAGTCTCCACCTTTGGGTATGCGTGTGTTTGACGCACTAGCCCGTGTTCTTGAATGCGTAATTATGTTCAGAGCAATCATCTGCTTCATGCATCATATACCTCGGGCAGTGACCACCGGCGATACATTTTCGAGGTCAAAGGCTGCTACACAGGAACACTCGGCATCTCGTGACAATACCCCAAGCTGCCTCGTGACCATTGACCATTTTTCTGCCCACAATTGAGTTGTGGTGTAGGCTTTGAAATCCCCGCAGAAGTACGCCTTTTCCATCGTGAGCACTTTGATGCCTTTCTCATCGTGTTTGCCGTGTGGCCTGATGCTGATGCAAAGCAGCCACTAGGGGATTTGCGGGGATTTGCCGGTCTTTTGTTGTTGCAGCAGGAAGGGCCTCATTTTCCGTCGAATCTTGCTCTGCATACCGTATTATTTCCTCGCCCCGGTGTGTCCAAACCTTTGGTTCTTGTGCCCCGATCACCGATCTTCTCGTTCTTCTTGCCCTTTCTCTCGCCGCCCGGTAATGCGGTTTGCGTGTTTGTTGTTTTTTGTCGACAAGCTCTGGATGAAACGCGAATTTTCGAACAGAGGAGACACAGCCATTTCGGCGAGAAGTACGACGGGGATAGGTCAGTGTGGTGACAGCTCCCCCCTCCCCCGCTCATGTCCGTGCGCCTGTATACTCCCGATGTTTCCCCAGTGGAGGGCCAGATTTGCTCGCTATTTGTCAAGGCTGCTTGCGGCCTGTTGTGTCGGGGAACTGTCGCGAGTGACTTTAGGTTGTTTCTGGTTGTTTCTGGCTGTTCCTGTGCTTGACTTTCGAGGCCGAATGAACTGATTGTGACCCACCCCCTCTACCCCGCGCGATTGGAATCCCTCCACAATGAACGAGAATGCCGTTCTGTCCCCCTTCCTTAAGTCTCGGGAGTTGTCTCGGGAGCTGTAGTATCGTTCCTTGCCGTCTTTAGAGGCACACCGTATGTTTCTCCGTTCCCTCATTTCCGCTCCATGGCGCCTTGAGGTTTGATGGAATCTGCCTCCAACAACGAGTGAGACGTGTCGTGGAGCTCATCGAACGGCGGCTCGACTGCTGGGTTGGTTCCGTGGTGGTTATCTGAAACGATGATCGTATGGCTTGCGGCTTCGTCGTTCCCCCGATGGGTTTCTCCTGGGAGACTCTTGAGACAGGAGCAACACAAACGAAATCGCTCCTCGCAGAGAACATTTGTTGTACGCCGCTCTTGTCTTGACCTGCCCCCCCCACTACTTTGCATCATCACCCTGTCCTCTTCAACTCCTTCTTTACCGCAATACCGTACCGCAGCCTGTACTGGAAGTGCTTCGTGGAACTGATCCGGCGAAGCCAGGCCAACAATCGCCGCGCCATCAGCTACGCCACGCAAAAGCTCTCGGCCACGCACGCGTACGCGAAATCCCTCTACGCAATCAGGTTCAAGTCTTCGTGTTCTGCGGAAGATTAATCGTTCCCGTTTCTTAACCTAGCACGCCCCACGTCAAGCCCTCGCGGAGTTGGTTCGAGCTAACACGCTCGGGTGGCAATCAGAGAAAACGCCCATGCTACATGCGCGCTCTTGATACGGTGCGGAGCGAACGTGACTCGTCTCTCCACCTCAGGGGCCTCGCAGATAGGGAATGAAGGGGGTTGTCGTGGAGTATTGGCTTGAAGTGTAGCCCCCCCCTGGCGTAGTACCAAGGGCAGAACAGCCGGTTTATCGAACATGATGCGGCGCTGAAGACGACAGCTCGGCTCGTCGTGGATGCTTGCGACGGCCCTGATCTATCGTTCTGGCTCTTGCGTGCCACGCTATTCGAAAATTGTAGTTCATTCAAGAGGCTGGTATCTAGTGTCCCCGCTAATTGTGGTGTTTTTTGCCCCATGATTTTCACAGGGATCGAGTGGACAGCTTGGAACCGGGCACAACCGAGGCGCTCCGAGAAAAGGAGAGGAGAAAGAACAATCACAAGGAATGGCCACCGCAGCAGTTGCCGCTGCCGCCCCAACAACGGCGCGGGAGGTGGGTAGAGAGAAGCCCGGACGTTTTTTGTCGCACCTTGTGTTTTCCTTTGGGCGATGAGGACGATCCGCAGAAGTCTGCAGCGTAGCCCCTTTCAAAACTCGCACACCCGGATTTGGGGAAATCTGCACATGTATCGACCGTGCCTCTTCGTGTAGTGCGCGAGGTTCGGTGCTCTTCTGCATGCCTCGATCGACCTTGGCCCGTTATGTTGTCGCACGCGTGCTCGCCAGACGCCTACAGGTGCGGATAATTCCGGCCTTGGTTGTCTTCTCCGCCCCCCTCCTCCCCTCCTTGCTTTCTCGATCCCCGTCCCTTGTCTGCCCCTTGATCCCGGTCCCTTGTCCGCTCCTCGATCCTAGTTTTTTACCATGTTTTTGGTTGTACACACACACCTCCTCGCACCCCCTCTGCTGCTGCCTTGCTATCTCTCCGTGTGGTGCTCGATGCTGCCGGCACGTGGTATTCCTCGACGTTCACGTGCGCGCGATTTTCAACCGTTTTTTTGCATGTCCTTGGGGAATGCCGCAGCGGAACGGATGGGGGGGGACTGCCACCTCAGCCGGCGAGCGCGTTAGACTGTCTCTTCGAGATGGAGGAGTACACGGCGATGCGGTGGGTACTATCGACACGCTATTCGCGTGCCCCCTTCCCCCCCCCCCTCTTGATCTGTGCTTGTTATCTTTTTTCTTGCCCCCCCGTGTTCGTTGTTTGTTGGAATTTCTGCTGTTTTCACGGAGGGGTGTTGGGTGTTGCTCTACTGGTAACGTTCTTGAGTAAACAAGTTGTCGTTTTTTTTGTTTTTTTGTTTTTTGCCAGTAGAGTGTGGCCTATACATTTTCTTGGGTTCATTTTCGGCCGCGGCCAGTCGCACACGTCCCACCATTGTTCTCGCCACCTGCTGTGGTGCGTCTCGAGTGTTTTTCGGGTGGGACTGTCCCTATGAACTTTTCGTTTGAGCTCGCGCCACACGATGTCGGCTGACCTACACACTCCAGATGACTGAAAGAGAGGAGAGCGCAGCGCGCGCCAAGTTCTGACGAAATTCAAGCTGACACAATGAACAGGGCTCCTCTTATTTTGTGTCGCGCTACTGCTGTCGAGCGAAGTTTATCTCATACACCCTGATAGCCTTACGACGCCATCCCAACCTGGTGTTGGACACGTTTCGGTGTGCTGCGTTGCCGGAACTCACGTGCAGAACGATCGACATGTGCCAAGAGGCACACGTTACGGTGATCGACAAGCAGCTGAACGCGATGGTCAAGAAGCTGGACGACCGGTTCGCCGAGATGGTGGGCCAGGGCACGGCGTGCCTTCGCCTGATGCACTCGGCAGAGATGAACTCAGCCAAGGCCTACGGACGGTGAGTGGGTCGGGACAGGGACAGCAGCAGGGACGGGATGGGATTGCGTTTGGTGTGGTGCTGCGTGTTGTGCTGCGCTTGGCGCAGAGGAGGGAGTGGGTGGGCCTTGATTTGTACGACGCAAGTTGTTGTAGGAGGCGTGTGGGCTTGTTGGGGTGGGGTGGTGGTGTCACAAAGACCCCTGTCTTCCTAAAAAGGTTTGGTTGCCACGCACAAAGTTATGGGGCGCAATGTCGAGTCATTATGGTCCTGCGCTCGAAATACCTGGGTCGACTTCGCCGACAAGATCGTCTTTGTTGTCAACGGTTTTGAAAGTCACTGCTGTTGCTGTGTTCCGACAACACTTCTGGACGAGATTGAATCTGTGTGCTCCACGCTACGCAGTGCTTCCCAGACAGAAGTGCGATTCTGTGCATCCTCGTTTCCTCGCCCGCGCTCCCCAACGGCGTACCGCATGATAATGCCTCTTCTGCAGCTACCAAGAAGTTGTGACGGCGAGTCTCGGCAGAGAGGCGTCTCCCGCACGCGCGACCGCACCGCTGACTTTGAGGGGTGAGTGCATTGGGCGTTAACCTGGTTGTCTCACTTCCTCCTCTCTCGATTGTCTCAGAGAGCGTGCATTGCCGAAGGTGAAGGGAGGCCCTCCCTGCCGAGAAATCCTCCGCCGTGTCCCTCCTCGTCGTTGAAGTTGCGCCTCCTACGTGTGTGTTTTTGGTTCCCGAACAAGGGAACGTGATCCGTGCCACCTGAGATGCATCCATACTGTAGCCAACGTTCAAGGGCGAGAAACAGTAAATGAGGCAGCGCGGAGACCCCCTTTCTTCAGCGAACGGAAGTGGGTTCACGCCCCACGCCCAAGGATTTTGCCGGTAAAATCTGGTTCAGCGGTACACGCTTGTGTTGTGTTTTTCGTATGCCCTCCGTCCAGACGTTGCGGGGTCGGATGTCTGGCTGGCGGACATGAACTACCGTGTGGCGGTGACTCAGCAGGCGAGGGTGTGGAAAGGGGTTAGCGCGAAGCTCGGCGACCTGTTCGGGCGGATGAAGGACATCGAAGTGGAGAGGAGAAAGGTGCGGGAGTCACGCGATCTAATTAACTGTAGGTACCATTCGAAGTTCAGCAGCAGAGGTCCCTATTTAGTGCTGGTTGAATAGTGTCGGTGTTCGTTAACGTGGCGGTGAAATTTCTGGGCAACTTAAACAGGGACCTCTATTACATTTTAAACGACGATAGCAAGTATTCCGAGAAAGAAAAGTGGCAGCAGTGATCTCGGTGAGTTCAATGACGAGTGAGAAAGCGCCGGGAGAGATAGAGAAAGGGTGGGAGAGATAGAGAGATAACAAGGCCCATACCAGCGGTTGCAGGGGAGAAAACTATGGACTGTGCTGCTGGTGTTGTCGCTCGGTGGCGTTGTTTTCAGCCGTTGGGCCCGACAACGGGGGTCGGGCTCAACGGTAGACGGCGATGGTGTGGCAGGATTTTTCGGTTGGTTTTCCAGGAAGACCCGCTGACAAGTTGTTGGCCGGGGTGGGCGGCGTTAGCGAGTCTTCGCACGGCCTCCTGTCGACTTATGACGCTTCGTTTTCAGTCCGCGCTTCAGCACGTGCTGCCACCCTACGCTACAAGCTACAGTCGGGTATGAACGGGGGGGGGCATGGGTTTCGCAGGCGGTGCGTTTCGAGTGGCCCTCAAATGTTCACCGCCGAAAGCTCCACTTGTTGTTGTTTCGACCCTCGCTGGTGCAGTCGCCGCTTGGGATCGACCGCTCTTTCTTCTATTTCTCTTGCATTTCTCTTCCGACTTCCTTGTGTTTCTCTTGTGATTCTCTTTTGATTCCAGGCCATCCAAGGTGGCCTAACGGCGATGGTGCAGCTCCAAGACGCCCTCTGGCGGGATCTTCCCGCCTTGAAGGAGCCCGTCGTGCACACGTTGGACCGGATCAACGTGGACAGACATCTGCTCGACCAAGAGGTGCGCCAGCAAATGCGCGTGGGGGCGGCGAGACTTCTGGCCGGCAGGTGGGTTGTTGCTGCCGTGATTTCGAGGGCAGGCGCTTCTTCCTCAAGACCAGGAGGTTTGCCGCCGCCCTGGAACCCAAGTGCTACGCATACGGTGCGGTTCCTCGACATGATGCATGGCCATGCCGTGCTCCTGTGTCATGCCGCACCGTGCTTACACCTGCCGTTTATTTCTGTGCCGTGCGGTGCCGTATCGCAACATATTGTACCGTACCAGACATGCGACTCCTTGCCCCGCACCGCATCGTACTTTGCCGTACTATGCCATACCGTTCCGCGCCCTCACGTGACGTGACGTGGCGTGCCTTGCCGTGCGGTGCCGTTCCGTTCCGTAATGCACCATGCCGTACGAAACCTTACCGCACCATACCCTACCCTACCCTGCCGTGCCGTGATTTGACGTGCCGTGCCGTCCCAACTTGCGCTCTTCGCACCTCCGTTGCACTACGCTCACGTGGGTACTCGAACCCGTGTAGGCAAGAGAACGGCGCCGGCGCCGGTGGCGGAGGCGCCAACGGAGGAGCCAGCGAGGGCGACCCGGCCGGGGCGGCGGCGGCGGATGCGGCGGCGACCGCGAGCGGCGGCGGCGGTTCGGTGGAGCGGTCGGAGACCATGCCTGCTGACTTCTTGGCGGGCCTCGAGTCCCCCTTGGCCAGCTCCCTCATCGTGAGAAATTGCTTGCGTGTTGTATGCATAGGGTTATTGTTGGAGGGCGGAGAACAAAACATATATATAAAGATGAGGTTGTTCTTCCCGTGTATGCCAGATGTTGCTGCAAAAGCTTGAAGCTCTCCGGGGTTGAATTCCGTGATCGAAAGCTGTCCATGACCGGGTATTTGCTGCTGGAAGTATTGGTGCATCAGAGGAAGTTGGAAGTTGCCCGGTTGCACGTTTGCCTCTAGCGACCTGTCTGCCTCTAGCGACCTGTCTGAACCAAGCACACACGGAGCGAAGGCACGGTGAATTTGGTATCGTTTTCATCTTGTGACGTGAGGTTGTGGGGGGCACAAGTGGGGGAATGGCCTAGCAGAGATGCGAGGCATCGGGTCTGTCTTTTAGCAGTGGAAGTCGGGGGCCTCTGTTCAGTTCAAGCCACTCTTTGTAATGCCAGACATCGAAAGGCATGCCTCCGTTGCTCGCCACGTACGCCCACTGAAGCATTACCTCGTTCTTCGGGCATTTGTCGGAACCGCTCGTGCCATTGGCGGCAACAAAAGCAACGGAGGGTTTAATACAGCTTGCACCCGCTCGTGAACACGTACTGTACCTCTCCCGTCTCATGATTTACTTACCTTACCTCTCTCGCCGATAGGCACGATCGACCATGCTGGAAAGGAGGGAGAAGGCCATGATCGCCTCTCGCTGGATCCTGGTCTTGGCGATCCTCACGCACGACTCGTACCTGCTGCTCTTCGACGTGCCCAGGGGCACAGCTGCCCACAAGAAGCAGCTCAACGCGCGTACCTCTGAGGTATGGAGTGTTTAGGATGCGGGCAGAGTGTGGCATGTTGAGATCGGTATTTAATGTCGGGCGGACACAAGGCGGACTCAGAGAGGAGGTGGGGTATTGTTTGGAAGGCGGGAAGCGGGGGGGGGGGGGGGGTCTACCTACAATGCGGCAGATGAGTGAGGCTTGGGTGTGGCGTTGGCGTTGTCCGGCGAATAAATCGCCGTGGTACACCGGCACGGTCTTTCTGAACTCTTTTTTAGGGACTGGTATTTTTCTCCCTCATGTGATCATGCTGCAGCACAGGTTTCCTGACCACTGTGCGGTCCCCCTGCTCCGCCCCTCCGCTACGCATCCTGCAGGCGTTCGCCGAGCTGGTGCCCAAGCCTGAGGTAGGCGCCATGGCGGTCGAGCTTGGGAAACACAAGGACGGAAAGGGGGTTGACTCGGGCGGGCTTCCTGTGCCGCCTTCGGTGGCCATCGACCTCAGCGCGTGCCAGGTATGGATGGGAGGGGGGCGGGGGGGTCAGCTTTCACACCGCCGTCGCCGCCAGGATAACACCCAACGAACCGATGTCGTTGCGGCGGATACTGTCTTGATTTTTTCCCGTCATGCCGAGACCTTGGGGGGAGGGGCGTGCGTAAATCTCGTTGGCTTTGGGGTGTTGCACACAGTAGGTATTATTTTTGCCACGCTAGTCCGAACACAACGTGCGGAAGGAGTGGTCTTTGTAGCCGCTCTTTTGTGTTCGATCTCATCCCCGCGTGTAAAGTCGAAACCTTTGTCAAGTTCATACCTTGTTCGGTCGCTGCCGTCTGCACAGCATGTGCTTCGTTGAAGTAAATAGGCAAGACTTATTTCATCCGCCTTCGATTTAATTTACGGTGTCCACGTCACCCGACACGCTACATAGGCACGTCTTGTGGCAAGCAAGACGATCAGGCCCGCGGTTGTCCGTTGTTGCTGTACGGTGGTCTGTATTTCCTACCACCGTGACGGTTTCCCTCTCCTTGTGGCTTCGTGGGACGCGACTTGCGACCCAGCCGGCCTATTCGAAGCCCCACCGACGTCTCCTTGCCGTCGCCAGTCATGGTTGCCCTTGTGAAAGACGCCAAGACGGCTGTTTGAAGGGATCGATTGATTTGCGACGGGACCACAAAATCGCTCAACAGTCAAATTTTCCCGATTGCTGTTTGGGTGTCATACTGCTTACTTCATCAGTTGCACTTTTTTTTGTCTTCCGTTTGTCCATGTGCCGTTTCGGTCTACTCGGTGACGGGACGTGGTATGTATTGACGGTCTCTCGACTTAAGGTGAGCTTCAAACCGGACGGCAAGAGCGATGCGACGTTCGAGATCACGGAGATAAAGCCGACCAGGGGTGTCAAGACCGTCTTCAAGGTATGTTGGAATTTACCGAGGCCGCCGCGCGTGTGGTTGTTTTCGTGCAATTTTCGCCCAACGCGTGCATCTTGCGGCTTGCCCGTCACGACGCGCTACCTCGATGCTTTGAGACGAGAAATTGTTGGTGGTTCTGGCCCACCAATGTCACATCTCCACCACCAACAACAGCGGGCAGCTGCACGATACAGCAGTAGCGTCCAGCTTTATAAATTTTATGAAGGAAAAATATTGACTCGTTTTTCCAGAAAATACGAAATTGGGTTTAAAACTACACCTCCGCGCCGGGTCCTACAGTCAGTACGTTCTGGAACATGGTGATCTATACTTGCCGGTGGCAGGCCTTTGCTGCTGTCTGCGAACCGACGGGTATTGTAGTCAGTCTTATTCTCTTCCGAAAGGTTATGTCCGGGTTGTGGCCCTTGGATTGTTTCTTGTATTGCGCCAGTTCGTGTTCACCGAAGGTGGCGGTAGGCCATCGTTTAGACCCGGAGAGATGGGGAACGGGTGGAGGGGGAATTTCCTGCTGGAACCGGACGAATCTCGGTGCAATCTTTGCAGAGTTTATCGTGTCTGCCGGGTCCACACGGCCTGTTGTACGAGGGAAAAGTCTTCTTGGACATGTTGCCCGCCCTCGCCCCCTTTACCATGTGCAGCACCATCATAGTCAACGTTCTTCCGTCTCCGGTTGTTTTCTTGTTGCAGGACTTCGAAGAGACCAAGTTCACGCTGAGGGGGCGGTCGCAAGAAGCGATGGTGGATTGGGTGTGCGAGATAAAGGAAATGGGGCGTGCGGGCATGAAAGCTGTGTCCGACAGCGGGAAGGGGAAGAAGTGACGGCGGACGCTTTGACACCACGCCGCCTTTGAAAATGATGGGCAAGCTCTTCAGTGCAGCTTTTTTTTGCTGCCGAGAGTGGAGCATCATTTGGCTGCACGCGTGACATGTCCATGCCGGTCGTACCATTATTTTTTTGTTCTCCAGCGGCAGGAGGTTTTGGGGGGGACAAAGGATGAGTTTATATCACGCCCGGTTTTTTAGCGAGATTCTTAAAGAGAAAAAAAATAAGAGTTACCGTTGGGTTGTCCCGGCTGTGCGGTTCATACAGAGCAGATGTAAGAGAGTGTTCTCGGCGTGTCCAGACTCTCTCGTAAACCCTAGTCGCTACTGTGTTCGTAATTTCTTTTGTTTGCTTCACCCTCGTCTGTCCCTTCGAACGTTTATTCCCGTGTCCGCAAAGGAGATTAACGGCGAGTCGTTTCTCCGTAGATTTGGCTGCTCTCTGTTGTTTGCCTGTTTTGTTTAGGACTTGGGCATTGCTGTGTTCGTACGCTTCAAGAAGCTTTGGCAGGTTGTGAGTGGGCAAGGGCTTACTGGTCAGTGTTGGAATATGGAATGGTGAACCGTATTGCTCAGCGAACGAGCCATCTGTGCACCCAGCAGTTGTTGCTGATACTCTCTGCAAGTGACAGACTTCGCAAATTGTTGCACTGTATTGTGGGCGGATATTTGTTTACCGTACATTGCTCAGCGAACGAGCCATCTGTGCACCCAGCAGTTGTTGCTGATGCTTTCTGCAAGTGACGGAATTGGCAACATTTTGAATTGTTTGTGGGCGGACATGTATTTAGCGCGTCAGGCGCTACGCAGGCATATCAGGACCAACGCAATCATCACCGTTTGTCTCTTGTCGGTGTGTTATATTTCCCAAACCAAGACGGATCTGCAGCAGAGGTGCTTTCGGCGGCTGCGGTGGTTCTGATCTCAAGCCGGAGCAGTGTCTAGAAGAAGGAAATCGTTTTATTTGGACGATCGCTTATTTGACGTGTTTGGTGGCCACTCTGTGGGTGTTTCGATATCGGTGGCACCTGGCGAAGGGTGGCATGCGTGTTTGCTTGTTCTGCGTGAGCGATATATCGCTGAAGCCCGTTTTATGTCCCGCTTGTTTCGGTCTGGTCACAGGAGAGGCAATCTGTCAACTCCCGCCCACAACAGAATAGATAGTGAAGCTGTGAGCGGCCTCATACAGTTCGTCTCCATTCAAGAGAAAATCCCAAGTACGTCGGATGGACGCCACCGTATATTCGCTGCGCTTCGGATTCAGTGTAGTCTATCCCCAAGGGTATCACCCGCAATTCACAGCAATAACTTCTGACATGGCTCGTGGATGACGGATGTTTGCAGAAGAGTTGGGTGTCTGATCGGAATTACCACAACCCTTATTGCACCCGTACCCACCTTCCTTGGGCAAGGTTGTCTGCTTCGACATTGGCAGGGGGGGTAAACTCTAAAGACGAACCGATTATTAGGGCCCACCCTGATCAATCGGGAGCTTTCAACAAATCATGCAGCAGAAGCCGCACAGGGTCTCCTCCAGTTTCTAGGAACAAAAAAAATAATGTTGCCCAGCCAGCAAATGGGAGCGCACTATTAACCATCGACTTTTGCAAAGCATCGATGCCGTCCAACAGTGCCGTCGGGCCATACCTCAAACCTCTTGATGGACTGGAGCCCTCCGAGGTGTGCTGCTGCATCTCCATGTACGAAGACTCAGGGTTGGCTAGTGTTACGGCATTTTGGAGGTAGACGCGTGATGGTTCGTGCCCATGGATTTTGGCGTTGTCAGACTGACTGTAGGACGCATGGTGAAGGTGAGGGACTACTGCTATCTATACCTACCGCACGCATCTTGGGTCCATCGGATGCACTGCTGTGGGATCCAGCGAGGCTTGTGCATGATTGACATGTAAACTAGAGCTGCATGGTGTCCATGCGATGCGGCAAGAGAAAGAGAGAAATACAAGCGTGCGTGTGTAGATACTGTTTTACAGAGAAGTGTATACTTGTAGATGCATACACTAGATGTACACAGCCCCGGAAAGGTTGCAGGGGTTTATTGGAATGCACTCTCCGCCGTTGAAGGCAGGGTCTTCTTTCGCAAGTTAGTCTAGAGCGCACATATGCGTAGGTGTGGCCGCGATTTTTCTTAAGTGAAAATGCTGGCGGTTATATTTTTTTCGCGGCGAAACCTTGTAATGAGACAAGTGAGAAGGGGGGGAGGGTGAGGGGTTCATCGCATATCCGAGGGGTCACTCGCACATTACCCTCTATCACGAGGCCGGCACAGGACAACCACCAACCAACTGCAACTGCCCAATCATTGCAGGCGTGGCGGAGCCCAAGCTAAGTGAAGTCACATGGAACGCGTGGTGAATGCTGCTCAGGATCCAACCTGCCGCCCCGATGCCATGGACACATCATCATCATCACCCGTTCACCCTCCCGCGGGCGCAGCACCGGGAGTATCCCATGACCTTGGGCGCTGTCCTGTGCTGAAAGAATTATTCGAGAGGAACTTTCGTGGCTACAAACAGCCCGCTGAACCTCCTTACTACGGCGGTGAGGCTCTCCATCAGGCCGTGGCCAGCGCGTTTGCTAACGGACTTGCCGGCTGCGAATCGCTCGGGTCTGAACATGCCCAAATCAGCGGCGCGTTTACGGATCCGGCGCTGGCAGCTGGCGTATCGACCGCGGCCGTGCTGAAGCGTGCCAACGAGAAGGTGGACGTATGCTGCAAAAACACTCAGTGGGGCCTGCTTGAGCTTCGCCACGCAGGGAAGGTGAGGGCACAAATCATCACGTGATCTATCGGCGACTGCTGTATGCATGATGTACTGTTAAGAGAGAGTGCGGCGGGATTTGCTGCACGGGGGGGCAAGCGATTACTAGACTACTGCACTTGTACTGCAGTACCTCGGTAGCTTCAACAGCAGCCAACATCACATACCTCTGCCATCCAGGGTCCGACCATTGTCCATGGATAACAGCATGGTACAGTATGCATACATACCAGGAAAGAGATACTTTTTCCTCTGCTGTGTTGCCGCAGGGAGTTTCTTCATGTCTTCTCAGCGGTGTGCAATGTTTCAGAGGGACGAAGTAGTCTTCACTTGTGTGTGGACCCCTTCCACACTCTCTTGGGTACTGCGCATGGCTCGATGAACCGACTGATACGTACACGTCAACGGGATCATGACAACTGGTCGGGCCCGTGCAAACTGAGACAAAGTGGTGCTGGTTGGCATGTCTTTTGCGCGCGATCCTCTACTCGCCGCTCCCGCGTTAGACATCGCGGTCTCAAACGTCGGTCAACACACACATGGGAAGGGTGGGATAATTCATCGTATAATTCATTCGGCGCCTGTAGTGTTCGATTCTCACCGTCCCTGGACACTACTACTGCTTTAAAGGCCCGTTGTTTGAGTCTGCTGCGGTCTTGCTACGGCAGGGGTCTAAATCCGGTCCGGACACATATATATACTCTGTAGGTCAAAGCTCCTTACATATGGGCGGGGTCTGTGGCGCCATCCATACTTCGTCCTCCGCACGCACTACTGGCGAGACGACCTGATCGAGAGTTGACGCCTTCGTTCCATTCCTCTCTGCCTCCCCTTCCCCAACAAAATTAGTGCTCCGGGCATACGGTGGATGGCGGACCATGTTTAGTGCCGGGATGCCGCGAGAAGAAGAAGCTTTGGAGGCACCTCAGCACCTGCTCAGAGAAGGACTGTGCGGTTCAGAACTGCAAACTCTCTGCGTGGCAGGCAAGAGTATTTCCGGGGTGGGCGCATTCGCTATACATTGCACACCAATATTGTGATATTGTTTGCCTTCCGCTCAAAAAATGCGACAGATTGTTTTTTTCGTGTTTCCGGAAGAGCAGAGTTCCGTTGGAACTCGATCTGACAGGCAATTCATTTCACACAATAATAAAAGGAGTACATCCTACGTTTGGATCCCTCGCGTTCGGTTCTATCCTCGTGTATGCAGCTGCGGATCCTCTCTCTTGCCAAGGCAGTTTTTGCTCGCCCTCTTGCGTGCCCCATGCCAACGCTCGCCCCCTTGGCAGCCGCGTGCGGACACGCTCACTTTGTGCTGCGGCCATTGCAGCAAGGCCCACGCTCAAGAAATGAAAAATGATCCTCGAACAGGTCCATAATCAACACACTATGTACGTTGTTGGCCAGTACAATAGAATGAGTCTTTCATTCAGTGGCCGCGCGGATCGCAACGTGTTTCTCTTTTTTTGTGGTACATACATGTTCGTCACATACAATACAATAGATGCGGGCGAGTTCGATAATTTTGTGCGGGGAACGAAAGAGCGCAGAATTGTAAGCAAAACTATTTTGCGAGTAGTCCTCGCCAGATCCATTCTGCTGTTGTAGTTTGACAATGATTGCCCACGAGGTCAGACCAAGACCGACTACTGGCACCAGGTAGATTATTTCCATGTAATCGCCACGAACAAATAGCTTTAGACTATTCAGCGCTGACTATGTAGTCTAATATAATGGGCGATAGCTGTAGTAGCATTACAACAGAAAATCTGGTCAAAATACACACAACACTCACTCCGTTTGGCACAGAACGAAGGGCCATCGTTCGAGCGTGTTTTAATTGACTTCCGTCTGACCTTTCTATTGCAGTAACCCAATTTAGGCGGGCGATGGTTCGAAACGATAAAAAAACTCATGCATACTGTCGTAATAGTATTGCACAACTAACTTAACTTGTCCCAGACCCGTTGCTTGAAGATATATAGCGCATACATACGTCGGATATATAATTTTTGGCCCAACTTTTCTCATTGTGGGGGTCGCTCAACTGAAGAACCCGCCCATGATGTCGAAACATAGTTGAATGTTGGCAGTTTCACTGTTGATCTGCCGAGCCAATGGGGATGCTTGTCTTTCAGAATCTTCATTTTTCAGTAACCCCTCTATTCGGCTGATAGATAGAGATACTTTTTCTTAATCTTAGGATGACATGGAGAACCGCAGCAGTCATTGGTGGCATGAGTGAGCCCGGAAATCGAATCGGCCTGAAATCGTACCACGTGCAGTACGAATGATCGGACTCATTCAAAATCAGGGCTGAGAGGGCAACAACGCAACCATCTTCGTACGTAGCTTCTAGCAATCCAAGACGCACAAAATCCACGTGCTTGTTTGTACTTATGTAGATACCGTTCCAAATGTCCAGGTGGCCATCATGCGCTTGATCGATTCGCCAGCCATGCAGCTGGGCACTAGGGGTGATTCAGATGCATTAGGAACGTTGAGCTTTACAAAGTTGCGACATTTACAGCGTCTACCCGCCAATCAATACTACAATCGATCAAGGAATCGGGCAGCAGAGCTATGAAATAGCTGTTGCTGAAGCTCACCTATATTGGTAGGGTATACCAAAAGCTGGTACATTCATTGCAGTCACGACCCCCATCTCACCCCATTCCCCTCCGCCCCGCATCGCCCCGACCACGAGCAGCTATCCCACCTGAAAAGATGCACGGCAACCCCCTGCAACATCTGCCAGCCAGTGAAAGATTTCATCAAGAAGTCGAGGACGGACTGCATAGATAAGGGGATCCTGAACGAGCACCGGCCTGAGGTAAGAATGGAAGGTTCGCCCTCCAATGGGGAGGGCGTTCATTCTTTCTCTTTGTGTGTCGCGAGCTACAGTAAGCTTTGTCAGAATCAATCCCCTTTCACACCCACGAGCGTAACAACAGTCGTTTTCATATCGACATGAAGCGCCTTGAATCCCGTCGGAGACACGGCAAATCGCCGTGACCGCATTACGTTGCTTGGAACGTCAACGTTTCGTGCCTAGCTACGTGAAGTTAGCGGGCATTCCGTATGACACTTTCCCTGCCCGAAACCATTGGCCGACGGTTAGTTTCGCTTTTAGGCCGTAATGAGGTGCGTGGCGTGGACGAATTCGAAAGCCGCGCGTACGTTGACATTTCCCAAGATATCGCGTCGTCGTTGGTACGAAAAAAAGGTACTTCAGTAGATTGGAGCATCACACGTACTGAGATCCAAATCTCCGTGTGCTCTACCGTAGGAGGCGAAGGGCGTGCTGTCCCCTCATGTTCCTTTGTTGAAGGCTTCAAGGCTTCAAGCACGTGAAACGATCTACGAAGTGCAGACGCTTCAATTATTCGTGTTTGCTTCCTTCCTCGCGTCAATACTACCGAGAAGTCGGCTCCAATAACAGCAGGCCCGAGTCCAACAGGTGGCTCATCGGTTGACGCAGACATGGATGATCTCACGTCGCGCCTGGGCAGCATGTCGGTCCTACTGCAAGGGTCTTCGCAGGACGACGAGACAACCAAGCTGTTGGAGGCCATGGCTGCAATCTCGATAGACTCGAACACCCGGCAGCAGCGCCGCCCTCCGGCAATAGGACTCCGAGGACCCGGAGCCGCTTTCCAGGTGATGGGAGCTTCGGTAGCCAGGGATGCAAGCAGCATCTTCAGGATCGGGAGCAAGGATGACGACGGGTCGCCAAAGCGCATGGGAACCCGGTTCAGCTCTCGCCTCCGCGATTTCAAGTGTAAGGCCCGCGCTGGCCAGGCTGTGGCCGAAACGGGCGATAGTGCGAGAAAGCGCCAAAACAAGAACAAATCCCCCGTGTGGCGTGTCGAGCGCAGGGACAAAAACGCAAGGTTCATGGAGAAACACCGTTACGGCTACGTATGTGACGCTGCGCGCTGGGGTGGTGACATTGAAGATGGCGCTGGTCAAAGCAGGACCGACAGCGATGATCTTGGCGACGGCGGCGACGGGGAGGGGCCAATGACGGACGACGGCGGCAACGATGAAGCGGCGACTCGTGGTGGATCGGCTACTAACGCGACGGGCACCGAACACGACGAAAACCCCTGCACAATTTGGGACGACTGCATGGAGGGCGAGGAAACTGGACTTGGGGCGCGGGGGGGACGCGGCCGCCGTGTCACCGCTGACCAAACGGCGCTGAATGCCAACATTGTAGGGAAAAATAACTCGGTTGAGGGCGACCAGAGAAAATTCCTCATCCTCCTGTATCACTTGCACACGTGCCGTGCGGACGGAGACGGCGAAATGTGTCAAGTTACTAAGCATTGCCCAGCCATGAGGCGGACGTGGCGCCACATGAAGACATGCGACGCAACGGTCTGCCCCATTGCGGTACGTCGCCGCGTTCCCGATGAGGGGAACAGAAGTTTCATAGGGTTAGTGGTATCACATGACCTTCCTTGTGTTTGCTCTGATCCGGTCCTCGAGATGCACCTGGTGCGTCTACATGCAACTCAATGGTCATGTTGTGCTCAAGCCGCGGTTAAATATCGCATTCTCGACTCTCACTCGACAGGAAGCCATTTGTACCAGCTTAAGCAGCCTCGTGCATCACCTCTACCACTGCGACAAGGCCTGCAGGCTATGCGACTACGTGAGATACGTGGGTTGCGGCGACCAACACGTTGGTGATCACACTTAGGCCTCGCGACCAATCGCTGCTTGAGATACTGGCCCGTTGGCGCGGCATCGCACCGCACAACGAGTGAATCGAAAAAAGCTCAGGAACGGGTGGGGGGTGGGTGGAGCACGCGTGCGGTTCTGCATGTAGTCAACTGGGATGGCCAGGCCGGGGGGGATTAATCGCACGCGCAATCACGGCTGCTGGGCAAGTGCTTGCGAGGGATTGTCTCCTACGCTGCTCTGACAGGACGACAATGTCTCGCGAGGGTTAATCGGGTAGAGGGCTGATACATGGTGGTATTTTGAATGGGGAGAGAGGTCGCACGTAGGTCGAGTGGCTATCAACGTCAGGCCTTGGAACCTTACCTAGACAATGTTGGTGTCATCGTCCAGATGCCCGAATCTCGGGTTCGAGGTCAATGACAAGTCACACTTGAGCAGAGTTGTGTGCGTTGTCGACTGGCTATGATGTGGTGAAATAGAGACGTGGGTATTGGAGCACGGCGCTTGAGATCACCGCAGTCATACAAATAACAACCGGCGGCATTTCGGGAGGATTCTGCGGATTTTTTTCTGTTCTCGAAGGCGAGCGAAATCCCAAGTAGATTCATTGCAAAATCTGCGCCTAGTACAGCGGACTCAGGAATGAAGGAGAGCCCGCCGATCCGCTGCTCCTTTCTTTGGTGCCACTCATGCTGTACTTTCGTTCGCCTTTTGTTCATCCTGCGAGATCGGCTTCGTGCTGATAATGAAACAGGAGCGAGAGTATGGCGGGTAATCTTTCGAAAAGTTCATTTCCAGTCTTCTCCCTGAAGCAGTTTCTGATGCGGACTACTGTACAGTACACAGGTTTGTTTCTCTACTATCGAGTAAGTATAGTTATCCTATTGTACATGACGACAAGGCGGAATAGTATTTCTTATTTGATCTGCACGAGTGTAGCCACAGCTTGAGCGAGAACCTGGTCACCACACCTCCTCGCCTCGGTCGTGGTACACCGTTTGAGCATCAGCATGAACAATTCCAAACAGCTTTCGTTTCGCGTTGCCTTAGCGATAGCAATCGCCTACTTTAACCATCTCTCCGGTGTTTCGTGGCGAGCTCGCAACATGATCAGCCAACCTCGATCGCACCACTTGTCGGCGTTTTGATCTCGTTGTCGTCGTCATCACCCTCCCCGATGCCTTCTGAAAGTAGTCGGGGGGCGGAAATCAAGCACAGACACGCTACACGATTAGTGTAAGCATAGAGGGTTCTGTGTCAATCCCCTTTCACAACGGCTACCGTAGCACAAGACTCAGGGTTGCTTGATTGAGTGCACAATTGTAGGGCCTCCGATCGGCGGGGCGGGTCAGGCATGTTGTACAACGTTCCTTAAACCAGCGCGAGAAGACTCCACCAATAAATCGTGTGCATCGACCAATGATTGATCACTATGTAAATGTAATACCGTCAGCTCACCATCATCAGAGGTGCTTGGCGATCGCCGAAACTGTCGACAAGCGTCACTCCACTCGCCAAGCCAAGACCTCAGCTTGCACGGCCAAGCTAACCCTCGAGTTAGGCCCCCAGAAATAATAAACAGAAAAAGCTACACATTCAGCCAAGCAAACGTGGCAGCGAGCAGAAGCCGCGAGGGGTCGGGTAGAGGGGAAGATGGGGTGAAATACGTCTATCAGGCGCATGATTCCAATGGAGGGCTACAGTTGTACTTGGACGTAAGGTTGGAACTCATACCAGATGTGAATCATGTTCCGGTACAGAGACACAACGCCTCTGAAGCATGCCGTCCATCCCGCGTGCGATGCATTCCATTGCTACATATATGGTTGTTGTCGAGTTGGTGTGGGACACTCACGTACGCACCGCGTACCTCACGGATATCTAGACTGCAACGACCTGGCAGCACGAAAAACTCGACAACCGCATGCAGTAAACTGCAGATGACAGCGCCCCCGAAATAAATGTTTGCAAGCGTCTGCGAGGGGGCGGAAAACGACCAGGACACACGAGTTGGTATTGTTACGTAGATACGCCATCTTCTTGGAAGTTCCCGGAAGGATTGTGAACTATTGTAGGTTTGGGGTGAGCGGTGGTACGGCATTTAACATCAGAGACGAAGAACTTGATCGACCTGCTACAATCCGCTCCCTGTGATCCGTACTTTCTCGGTGTTCTTGGGACCACATGAGCCTTCGGAAGAAGCGTATAACAGAAGTCGTGTGCTGAGAAGAGTGAACAAATAACATGCTGATATGCTGACCCCCACTGCTGGTAGCAAGTGATATTCATGTTCGTGCAACGGCAATGACCAAAAGAGAAGACGTTCGTGCCATATATATGTACATCCGTACAATAAATTGAATTGAACTCAGGATGTGTGTAGCCCAGTGCCGTTAACGAGGGTACCTGGGATGGCGAAAAGGTGCATTATTGGGTCTATGTTGCGGTGGAGGCATAGTTTCTTGGGGGAACTTTGTCTGATAAAGTATCCACGTGTTCTGCTGTATTTACATGGAGCATTTCACTACACCATAGGCCACTCACCGAAACTACAATGAGGGCCTCGCCGGTGAGGAGAGGCTCGGAGTCATCATCGTTGTTGGGGCTATACGCCAGATGTCGGTGGTAACGTTCTACTCGCATCATTTCGCCTTATTCAGACCAGCAGTCGTTTCTTCTGTGAAAGGATAAGGATGAGCAGGCGCACGAGCGACGCTACTGAGCTAAATGCAGACTCCGGAGCAGCAACGAAAGTACGCAAGTGCACAGTTGACAGCGCACATTTTATGTGGCAGACGAACAAACATCACACCGTCTCACAACAGCACTATGGTCTACAGTATTCCCCCGAACAAACGAAGGGATAGGAGGAGAGGGGCCTAGACGATTTGTGGTTGCCGAGTTGGTGAGACCAGCACACACGGAACCCCGGCCTCATGAAAGACACCTGGTAAATGTCCAGACGTCATCTACGAACAAGCATCCAGACTACAGTAGGTCGAGCTGGCAGACCGCGCACAAACCCTTCGGAGTGCCACCATGATTCAATCTACAACATCCGCATGATTGGGTACAGACCTCAATTGGAAATCGCACCTCTCACGGCCATAACTGTTACTCACGGTGAGCCGATTAGGTGCCGGCGCTCTACACCATGCACCAGGTACCGGGTGAGCGAATATTGCAGTCGCTTATACCCTTTGCTGAAGCCTTGCTGTATGCTTGAGACTAACAAGCCTTTCATCGCAAGCCCTCACCTTGTCCCGCGAAATCAAACATCACCAAACAGTCAATCACAGAGCGAATGAAGTAGCGGTCGGTGCTTCATCACCCGCTCAATCAACTCAATCAATCGCATCAATCAATCATCGGGAGGGAGGCACACAGGCCGGAAGGAATCAATACCATGGATATCGACTATGTGTGTACTTGCATAATCCGCCCTGATGATGTCCAGCTGGGCTTCGAACCCGCGTCCACAACCTCTGTCATTATGTAGGTAGACGCTAACCCTTCGTGCCTGAGTCTAGTGGGTTTGGCTCTATCCACCATCATGGAAGGGAAGATCCCGACTCACTCCCGATTTAGCCGAAGGAAGTTTCCATTTCCCACCAGATACTACCGTACCAGTGTATTGTATGGTAGCACCGAAAGGAAGCTCGCTAGAGACGCACGGGCTTTTTCACGGAACCACAGGGTGGAACCTGTGCGTGGCTGTATCAGCTGTGTAAAGTTTACACGAATAAGGCTTAGACTACGTTACGCCACGTAAAGTTGAACCAATGAATGGAGGTCTGTTTTGCGTCACTCACCTACAATACAGTACTACAAAAAAGAGCAGTCTGGAGCACACCGCGAGTCCTCGTAAGTGCGAGAATATCATCATCTCAAACGTGTTGGTCGGTGGTTTAACCCGGACACCTACTGTCTAGTACTTCTCCCGCCTCCTCGATCTCCTTGATGTTGGCTACACCGCAAGCGAAAGTAGTTATTTATTAACAGGGTTTCATTATCCTCAACAGTATCGATGAAAAGCAAATAACAATATTGGCGGTCGAACGCGAGTAAATTTCGTGACGACGCACACTCCGACTTCGCTGTCAACGAGGGAAAGGGACGGCTGGACCCTTCTCGCCCTAAAAACTAAGGCAGGAACCGCAGGAGGACAGGTGGGACGGAAAAAAAAAAGGAAACAGAAAATACAAGGCCCAAGAACGACCTTCCTACTCCTGTGCGACCCCGGCTGACCCGCCAAACAACTACCATACATGTAACGAGGGTGTGTAGACCGGCGCCAGAATACACGTAGCAGTAACTACGTTGACACCGAGCGACACCAAGACTCGTAGACCGAACAACTGACATCAACGACAAAATACACAAACCTCACACACACAGGGTTGTTCTTATCGACCAAAAAACACGAAAAAAAAAAACGAAACCGTGTTTTCTTGAACATATGTGGAGGCGTTTTTCCCCGAAAGCGTGATAAGAAGGAGCCGGGTTTATTGGGGGCTTGCTACTTTCACGAATCCGTGTTTTTGACAGAAGCATCGGGCAAGCGCACCGCGGGCGCTGTAACGTCACTGAAAACGCTAGAAAGACCTGCCAGACTCACGTCCAGGTCTGTTGTGGAGATGGACAAGCGGCAGAAGCGGCATTCAGTCCGTTCTTGGCCCAAAACTAGGCATTGCGTGGTGCTCTCGTCTTCAACTGCTGCTGATGTTGGTGCTGGGGTATTTTTTTCAATCACACATAGCAAACACGGAAACAGTAGAACGAGTACAGCAGCAGCACCAAGACCTCCAACGCGCTGATTCCTTCGGTTCGGCTGTCCATATGATACCATCTTCCGGCGCCGTGCTGCTTCGTGGGCATTGGGTGCTTGGGTGCTGCTCAGTAAAGTGTGTGAGAGACGTGTGCCACCTCACCAAAATGCCGTTGGAAAAAATGCGGCGAGATGATGTGTTTTTGGTCGGACGCATCAACATCAATCCACGGCACCACGCAGCAGTAGAGCAACAGGGCCTCCGACACGCTAATTCTTTCGGATTGGCCATCTATATGATGCTGGCCGTCAGCGCGGCTGCCGCCCTATGATTGTTGAGCTCGTCTACCTTTGGGCAGAGGTGGTGGTCAAAGATGGGAGTCGCAACCGTGAAAAATGAGCTGGCAAACTGAAGAAATCGCAAGCAACACCCAGGTGGCGACACTCTGCCCTGCGCCTGTTGTTGCTGAAAACTGACAACAGCAGGCCAGGTGGACGGGATCTTTCTAAGTGCGTTGTCCTCTGTGTCGGATGCTGCTCATTGCGCTTTCACCGCTGCTCTATGGTGAGCAATACCATGTCAACCTGTTGTGTGTCGAGCAAAACGTGTATTCAGGGAAGGAAACGTACTTTTCGCGATGACATCACGATTAGAACAAGCGAAAAATAATCGGATCTTCTTTTCACCGTTCCGTGAAAAAATGAGTTTTTCGTTGCCCCTCATATTCAAAGCAACCATCGAAGAGAAAAAAATAGGAAGGCTAGTAGATGTCCCATGGAGCGCAGAAGGTGGCATCGACGTGGCACGTGTAGGCAGTGCTGGTGTGTCACCCAACACTAAAAGTGGTGGACGCTCTTGGACTACCGTACCGTTTTCGAGCCGCCACCGCAAAGGCGACCTCCGTGGCACCATGCAAATAGGCTAAGCAAGTTGGATGCTCTCCACACCCCCAGATGGCGAGGAGGAATTTCCAGAGCGTGCCTTGAGCCTCTGGTGGAACGACCACGCCACCTGTGAGCCAACGAAAAGAGGACAGTAAGATAGGCATGGGCAAGAGGAAAAATCGAATTATATCCCTCCGCACGATTCGTCAAACAGCGTCGGCATAGAAACCGGGTCTGCAGAATGGAATGGGGTGCACTAATGGGAGCTCGTCACTCACATCATTCATCTACACCACAAATTGTCGCAGGCCACTCATTTCGTACATGGCCGAAAATACTACGCGAAGCGCGACATATCTACCCCAAGGTTGATCGTAGTGACTATGTAGACAACACATGGTAAAGCGCTTGCGAAACGGGCCTTTGTTTCCAGGTCGACAAAGATACCACGGTCAGATGGTAGCTCACAGCCAAGCAACTTCACCACAAAACGTGCAAACCTGCAAAGGGAAAAACAACAGGGGCATCATGCCGCCAGACAAACATTTGCACGATGATAGACCAACTTGAGAATACGCAGATCGCGCCGGGACGGACGACTGAGCGAGCACAACCTTCCTCCAGCATCCCGAAAGAATGCCGTTCTGGCTATTCCGGGATTTGACAAGTGAAGTGATACTCTCCCGGCATGGGTGGCGTTGCGATGTAATCAAACCTTCACATTCCCTCCTCCGACTATAGCAGTTGTGCGAACAAAAAAAAAAAGGCATGGTTCCAAATGCTTGGCGCATTCCCGTACTCTTGAGAGGCCCGTACTCCACGCCGGTAAAGGTACTCGGCTTTCGCATGAGAGGCAACATATTTTACGTGCCCACAGCGTCAGGTCGCTGGCTGTCTTTTTGTCGGTCAAGTCAAGGTGCTCTCGTTCAAGTCTTCAGGCCCTGGCCAAGTCGGCACGCGGGAGTTGCCCCGCACAATGCGGAACAGCTTCCAGAGACGCTCCTCTCACGGGGACCCTACATGCTGGGCTGACCAAGCAACGACATCTAGCACCCGCACATGCAAACCGCAATCTTTGGCCCCAAGGTTAGGGTTCTTAATTCCTAGGGTCACGCTACAACTGGCTGCTATTTAGGTTTTAGTGTAGGGGTTCTTGACCGGGCTCACAAATGGTGCTGAAATTCTTTGCGTGCGGGCGCTCGTCCTGCCGAGAAAAACGAGTTGACACACATCTCCTAGAGTCTTCCAATCGCAGCGGTTGTGATCGCAGCGGTTGTGATCGCAGCGGTTGTGATCGCAGCGGTTGTGATCGCAGCGGTTGTGATCGCAGCGGTTGTGCACACCTTGGATGTTGTCAGGTGATAAAGTCGCGTTCTATGAAACCGGAGGCTGTCACAAATGTCCAGATGTTTATACAAAGTGAGGTCATGAAACATCGTTTAGCCTCGAGCACCGGTCTCACAAGGACTGACTGTAGAATCTCGCCCAGGGGTTTTACTCTTCTCTTCCGAGAAGCTATCATCAAGAGCCGCAAAGACGCGTTCCATGCGGCCCACGCGTTGAGTTCCCGGTGAGGAGGGTTCTCGAATCGACAACCACGTCGACGTGGTCTTGTAGATATCCACCGACAAACAAGCTACCCCCAGAAAAAACATCGACCGGCGTTCCCAGAAGCATCCGTGAAAAATGCAGATGGACGCCGTCCCCACTTCGCTTCGCCGTGAAACGATACAGCGACAAATCTTCGCTGTTCGGTGAGACCGCCCCACCTTAACGAAGTAGAGAAAGACGACCACATCCACAAGGTGGCCAATCACGACTCCCGGCCCATCGCTGTTGTCGATCCCGTACTGCTTCATCACGGCACGCAGTGTGTACTTAGCCACCAGGCCAACGAAAAACCTTGGCAGCCACATCCAGAGGTAAATCTTGGCCGACAGCGCGTTGGACTTGAAGACAGCGAATAGACCGACCGCGCCGGCGAGCATGGCGATGATCGCTGATGTCGAAAGGTATGTTTGTCGATTGTGTTCCGTGGGACGTTGCGGGGACGAGAGAGAAAGGGACCCACGTGCGCGGGATGGATTGAGGGCGCACTATTGCGAAGCTCCGAGCGCAAGTTGTTGCAGATCGGGCTGCACAAACACATCACCTTAGTTCAAGTGCCATTCCTTGCATGTCTTTCGGCCGCTACCTCCTCACCTCCGGCCATGCCTGGGGAAGAAACATCTGCGCTTCGGTTCATTCATTCATACCACATATTACGACTAGGTTGGACTCTGTCTCAACAAAAATAGCCACAACTCCACATTTCGGAGCTACTACGCCGGTGTTGCGGGCGATGCCTGCCGCCCGGCATCTCGTGCCGTGGTGGGGAACAGCAGGTCTCCTACTCTGTCCCATCAAGATGCGCACTGCCCGCTGCGACTCAGCGGTCCAGTGCTTCCCTTTCATCTGTGCTACAGCAGTACCCCACGAAAGTCCAGCTACACCTGTGGCCGGATTCTTTCCGCACCACACTCGTGGAAATTCTCCACCCCGCCGTTCAACACCTACCTGACGACGTTCAACATCTACGTTACCTGACGATGTGCACTTTTCGTCGTCTGCACCCCCCGCTGCGGGCCATTTGGCGAGTGACAGCATGACAGTCCAGAAGAGACAACGCAGTTTACCCCGCAGGGGCGGGCATACCTTCCACGTACACGATGACCGGGAGGTTGTCGAACAGTTCGACTTCGAATTCCGCTTGCTCGATATTGTGGCTGAGCTGCAGGCAGTCTTCCGTCTGAACGGGGGCATCTTTGCAGTCCTTGTCGTACTGCATGCACAATAGCGTTATCGCAGCAAACGGGCGGTGTGATTTTGAGGGGCATGACGAAACTGTAGTAAAGAAGTACGATCCAGGCGGGAAAAGGGCGCGGTTGGACAGTCTACAACACGACATGCCACCATCAGTTCCCCCAAACCGCCAACAACAATTGTACTCGTTGCTCATGCCCTCGCCAAGCTCTCACCACCGACTGCAGAATCTCGATGGCGGCGTGTAGCATCTTCTCGATGTGACTTCTCGAGTAGAACGTTGACCAGATGCCGTTTAGAAACAGATCGTTCGCGGCGAGGATGCCCACACCTGGCCGACGGTAATACGTTCGGATGCACGATGCAACACAAAACGCTTCGAGCATGACCGCAGGTACAAAAGAATTGTTGCAAGTTTGTGGCAAAACATGGTGGGGGGGGGGGGTTCGGGTTTCGGCCGACTTCGGCGAAGCAATTGTTTACTGCCTGCAGAAACATGCGCTACGGTGGCGACGTCGCGACCCTTCCGGCCCCCTCAAAAACTCGCTTCCGCCCAGGGCGGGGCCGACCTAAACTCCGCCTGACTCGGCCGATTTCTGGAGCTTACGGAACCCCGCCTGTACCCGTCCCGGACTCGTCCAGAGCAGCAACAGCATCCTACGGAAGCCGACTACTGTAATGAGTGCTCGCCCTAGCCCTCACCCGCGCGTAGAGAGCAGCAGAAGCAGCATCTGCGTCATTGGCCCGGTGGTGAGCATCAACGGTGACCATGGATGCGGCAGTGGGTTGCACAGACACAGCAGTTGGTGAGAACCGGAGTGTAGGTGGCGTTTTTATTCTATCCAAACGTTCTGCCGATGTCGTCAGTGCAAGGAAGCGGTGGAGGCAACAGGCCCAACCGATTGGCGTAAACCTATGGTGTGCAAACAAAGGGGCTGACGTCGCCCGCTCAAGTTGTCCTGTGCCTGTTTTCCGCATCTGAACAGTCTCGGTCATCCCGAAATGTCAAGGCTGCAGGGATGGTTCAATTCTCAACGGCGGGGAGCCCGTGATTCCTTTAAACGAAGCGGCTTCCAGAAACTGTAGAAAGGGATTTCCAGACAGCACCCATTTCGTGCGCTAACGTCCACACACTGTAGACTATGTACTACTACACCCAGGTGCTATTAATACTTGTGCTGAACACTACTTGTTGTACTTTTCAACAGCATGTATGTCACCCACCCCCAACCAGCAATCACCCACCACACAACGGCGGCGGTAAGAGACAACGCAAAGAGCTTAAAGTGCCGAGTGCGGAATTCAAAAGCGAAAGCACGCGCGGCAGATATCCTACGGCGGCGGCCGTGGAAGAAGAGTCTCCAGTAGAGCCAGCTTCACAAGTACCAGGTACATAGAGTGACTAAGCAGGCGAATATAACGCGAAAAGGCTCAGCGTTCGGGGCGCAAAGAGGGCACGTTATGTATCAGTTCTTGCATCACCCCCTGCCGCGGTGCTCTCAATAGCCCACTCCGGGGGGAGACCTTGTCAAGTTTATGAAGAAAAAGAACAGGGAGGGAGTACGCAGACCGTATCCCCTAACCCTAACCCTAACCCTACTTCCCCGATTGCATGCTTTATCCAACAAGTGTTTTTGACGCTGGCTCTTTTCTTATACTAAAATCCAATACAAAGAAAGAAAACAATCTTCCGCCTGGGAGGAACCTGGTTATTACTACAAATATCAGTAGAGGCCACCATGAAGGGGCGTCGGGGGTGGTAGAAGGTTAGCTACTGGAGCTAAATTCGCGAAGGTTGCAGCAGCCTCTGAAAACAGTCCGAAATCTGCGCCGGAGCCAAGCGGAATCCAACATTTGTCACAGCCAACCGTGCTCACCGCCACGGACCGTAAACCCCTGGTTGTCAGCAGCAGCTGGTGGCATCAGCTACTGCTGTAAACCCGCACTTCAGGAGATTGGGGGCAGTGGTGGCGAGCACAAACAGCAAGACACAGGCCCTCGGTCGAATTTGCGGAGTGCGGAGACAGTTGTACGCCTCTACGGCAACTTTCGGTGCCCCCGATATCACCACCACAGAAGCACATTCGACTGCGCCAAACACACACACACCGCTGCTATTGGATGCCCTCTAGAGTATTACTCTGTAGTAATATGCACCAGGGTCCCGGCAACACCGACCTTATTTCGAGCGCCTGCCGTTTTGGGTACTTTGGCTTGAATTTAGAATGGAGTGAATTATATCTTGTTTTCAAAGGAGGCGTGTAGAGGTAGACGCGTGAAAATGTTATGTTTTGAGCAACCTCTACTGCCGCCCTGTGCGACAATCAACGATTTCTACTTTTCGCGATGCCTTCCGCCTGGTCTTGTGTGTCTGCCGTACAATACCTGGTGCGTTTGTTTTCAAGATTCATCAACACCAAAGTTCTCGTAACACACAAAGGTGGGGACAACCCACATCCGTGAGTTTCACCGCTCGCTCGGTCTTTGTTACATGCGTCCCTTCCACTCGTGTATCTATCTGTAAAGGCTACTCTATAGGGTAGCTCCCAACAGCAGAGTGTTGTTGTACTGCTGTAGTAGAGCAACTAGCGTGCAGCAGTGACAGCTGATTGAAGGCATACCGCCCTTCTGAGCATCAACTGACAGAGAGAGGGCGGCATGCCGCGGTTGCCCTCTGCGGTTTTCGAACAAAGTCAAAGCCAAATGACGGAGCGCACTCACGAGTCAACGGGCCCTGGCTGCCACCACCACTGTCGTCGTACGCCGCCCTCCCCGTTGAAGCGGGCCCCATCAACCGGCTCTTCTTGCTCCACCTGGCGGTAAACCATCGACATGGTGGCTGATGTGGGGTATGTAGCACACAGTCTCACCGCCGCGTTGTTGTCTCAGTCTGCGACCTGCGACGCCTTCGGACAAACCGGATGCGGCGCTTCGGGACCAGCAGAGACAGACAGAATAAACACACGACGAGCGAAGGCCGAAGTATGCAAAGCGACTGCTATAACGGTGGGTGTGAAGGTGACAGCAATGCACCAAGCACAGCTGTAGGGGTGGTTTGAAGCTGGTTTCGTTCGGGCGGAGGAACCGAACAGGCGGGAGCGGAATATTCTCGGAATGACCCTCGCAATGTGGCACCACGTTCAACGTTTCTTGCAGCAGCAGCTTATTACAAACTTGAACTTACAAACAAATAGAGACGAACAACCCACACTGAACCGTTGCATGTATGTATGCATATGTACCACATAATAGTACAAGTTCGTCGTGGTTGAACGCCTGGTGGACAGCATTTTCTCTGCTGGTTCGAGTACAAAAAGCGCTTTTGATGCCCGCGTCCTTTGCTCCCGGTCTCCCGGTTATGATCCCAACCATCATCCACGTCCGGAACCGAACGGAACGAAACGGCGACGGGTCGACGGAGAGGAGGGTGTTTGTATTCTGCTCGTGGACGATCCGGAATAAATTTGTGTAATTATTTTTCCCAATACATTTGCCGGGAAGTATTCTCGTCATGGACCCCCACGACAACTTCTTCGCCATGTCGCCCGAGCTACTACTACATATGACGACGACAAATTGCTGCTCTCAAAGAAAGGAAAGGGTCGACCGTCGTTGTACTTCTACAATAAAGAAGCCCACAAAAGTAGACTATGTAGAACTGGGGGGAGTCCCGAAGGTTGCAACTAAGTTATTTTCCTGATGCCTTGCCGAGCGGCGAAGCCAAGTGTAAAGAAAGGCATTCGACACTCGGATCTACGATGAGAAGAACCTTGACGATGGATGTTTCTATACATCTACTACTGCGGGACGGCAGTGCCTACAGCAGCACTTCTGCGGTGCCCTAGGGTGAGACTGAGCAGGAGAGAGAGGCAGGTGATCATATCAAAGGAGGGAGGGCCCTGCAAAAAGAGGCCCTGTCCCACATTTTCATTTATTTCCTTCCCTCGGGAACTACTGTACCTTTCTGCGTTTTCACATGGACAAACATCCGGAAAAGTAAGTTGTAACGCTTGGGAGTGCCGAGGCGGTGTTGCTGGAGTTACTAGTGGAAGAGGCTTCCATTTCACAAAAAAAAATGCGAACACGAAATGAGCAGTGTTTTTGAACGAGAAAAATGAATGCCTTGGGTGTTGTGCTCCCCGGGTGGAATATTTTGTTGGAGGAGGGAGCATTCTCATTATGTCATCATGGAAGGGGAGCCCTTCGAAGCGTTGGCTTTACCTAGGTTTTCCGACAAGGTACCCAAGACTTCACGTAACTCTCTCAGCTGTTTCATTTCGACAAGCTGATTTCTGGGCGGCAGCGGCCAGCGGCGTGTATCTGGCGGTGTCGAGTCAACAAAGACGTTCCGCACATCAACCAGCATGTGATCGAAGACTTGCCATACCCCATATCATCGTGGCATGGCTAAAGGGGAATGAATACAGGTACATTAAATTACCGTGACAAGTTGGGCGGACGAACGTACAACACGCAGACGTGCAATCGGTTTTAAGATCGATTGCTATGCTTCACAACCAAGAAAGGCGGGAAACCCGACCGACACCTGCAAGGAAATTTCTCATACTTTCTTTCCGAAATCACCCTATTCGGTATGTTGGCAGCCCCTTGGTTGTTGTGGAGCGATCGAGCGTACAAAGTCGATTGACCGCCTGCGCGCGCTCGTCCTCACTTGATACGGTGTTAGGACGAAAACGGAATGACCACAATTAAATTTACGCTTCGTTGTTCGCATCATGTAGGACTGCTGTGTCCACATGATTACAGTCCAGTGTGAAGCTGCGCCTACAGGAGGAGAGCCAACGACTACTGTGGGATCGGACTGCAACTAAGCAGGACAAGATCGGTACGTGACGAAAGTAAAACGCGTGGGCAGCAGATTCCCTAAAGCTTCAGTCCAACCCAGATTTCCAACATCTCCCGTTGCAAAAAACTTACAAAACTGTTTGAATCTTCAAAATCCAACACAACCGTTCACGGAATATTCCTGATGAACCACGCGCATCCACCTGTTTGCCTCAGACGAAACTATCGTGATAGAAACCCAATAAACACCCCACCGAACAAATTCGTCGGTACAGCAGTTGTCCGTAACAATGAGCCCGCTCGTGCCAGATTGATATCTGTCACGACTGCCAACCTCCCTCCTGTGCACGTGTGACGACGACGCAAGCAACCAACGCAAGGTGGCGCACCCGGATCCAAACGACCAGGACATCTACATGTTTGCTGGGACTCAGCAAGATCGAGCTATAATATCGTTGGCGCCCGCAGTCAAAAAAAAAATCGTCAGATATGAGAGAGACTCTCAGTATACACTAAACGCTACCAACACAAACAAACTCTATTTTACACTGCAACCTGTGCGTAACGGTGACGACCAAGTAAGAAAAATGAGCCTTGACCCGAAATTGACTTTACCTATCTCTCGGGGGGCAATAGCCTAGAGGGCCAGCTGGAGGAGGTGCCATGTGATCAATTCTATTACAGCAGCCACCCTGGGGGCAACGTGGGGTCTCCTCTCGCCGTAGATTATTCTCACGTTTCTGCTCGTGCCGGTTGTTGCGGATGGCTGCTGCCACTGCACACGGATGCAAATCACACACGGGTTCGTCGGGTGCATTGCCTGTTGGATGCTTTTGCGACCCTTACACGACAGAGCTGCGGGACCCATCAAGCTCGATGCTCCCCGAGGTGTCCGCGGCTGTTGCGGCCGCGCGATTGTTCCTCCGAACCACCACCCAATACGACCATGCCACCTGGCGCACAGGAACGTCCAGACGACGGGGAAAGGGAAGGAATTACACCACAATGCTGAAACAACAACGCCATGAAGCGATGCCAGCGCAACGATCATCATGGTGGAGCCGGCAACCACGCGCGCAATGTTCTTTCGGAACAGTACGAGCATATTCGGCGGTAGTATCGCAGAATTCGTTCTTGTCAAGACTTTCTTTGATGTTGTACGAATCGCATCATTTAGATAGTGTCTGTCTCGTACGGGGAGTGAAGATGTTCGTTTCACCCCAGAGTACGAACGAACTAACGGTCTGCAACCGACCGTACACGTACCGCGCTAGCCTTCCACGCAGATGGAAGCGTTGGCCTTACACAATGTGCACAGATGGAAAGAACATCACACCATCAGCCGTCGTGGACATCGTTCTAAAAAAAAGCACACCATTTGATTGGTGCCGTTGCACAGTGTTCAGCAGCATTCCACGACCTGCTACCTTGTCGCCCGCGTGTGAGTTTCGGAACATGAATGCGCCTGTCCGAATGCAGCATGGAACGCCTCCGTCGCCCCAGGGGAGGTGTAATCGCCATCCCCTGGATCGTAGGGACGCTTCCCTGTGCTACGACGCTTGTCTGAAACGAAGAAGCGGGTGTCCTTCAAGCGGGATCGACCGACCGCATTGATGCTCATCCGTGTATTAGGCCCGAACTCTTGCGCGCCAAACCCTCACCTTGAGACAGTAGGCAAGGATGAGAACGCGCGGGATGTTCCAAACCACGGTAAACCCCCAGAGAAACCCCATGTCGTAGCGCTCGAACCTGATCCGTTGCATCACCAGCTCTACCAGTGTCAGCACGATTCTCGGCGGCCAAGACCACAGGTATGCCCTTGCAGCGAGGGCATCGTGAGCGAAGACGGCCCGAAGTCCGACAAATCCGAAAATGGCGGCAATCACGCCTGTTGTTGGTCGCAGCACCCCGGTGCCAAGCGGGCCACAATTTTTCGTGGTCAAGGGCAAATAAGCTTGGTCGGTGCATGGACAGATGGATTGATGCAAGCAGAGCATCAAATGAATCACTACGCTGTTACAACTCTCCACAAGGCTCTCTCCAGCAAGAAGAAGTTGTTGATCGAAGTTGTGAAGGGGTGCTGCAAATGGTCCCTTGTGTGCTGACCAACGGGGACGATTTAAGGCAGCCCGATGCCAGCAACGTCAGCACCCTGTCGCATGTTTTGATTTGTCCAAGTCAGGACCCGCCCCTTCCTACACAGCGCCAGCACCGAATAAAGCACTTCCGGGGCGTCATATCCTACCTGAAGCCAAGGGAACCAGACGCACCATGACATACCGGCCTACGGTGTCACAGGAACCTCTTCCGGGCTACAGAACTACCCCGGGTGCTGCTTTGAAGAGGCCACCAAATCATGAAATTGAGGGTGGTGGTGACCATAACCTGCGGGATATCCTGCACATGGGCGCCATCTCCGTATCGCTTGGCCGTGGCGAATCGAACTTACGCCGCGGCGAAGTGGGAACACAGGGAAACGGAGCCTTCCACAAGCTGCAAGGCGGAGCAAACTCAACGTATTTTCCATTTCGGATTGTTCGGGGCTGGACATCACACTCGCGAAGTTCATCGCTGCACGGACATTCGAGCTGTGGCTTCTCACAGTATGAGGTTGCCGCACACATGATACTGAACGGGGTGCCATGCTTCATGATGTCCACCTCGAACAACTTGGTCTGATGCTAGACAACGGTGTTCTTCGTGGGACTGCTTTCTCGAGAAATGACGTTTATGAGGAGATCAAATCAGGGAGGGGTCTATCCCTAAAACCCTAACCCTGACCCGACTTCCCCGATTGCATGCTTTATCTAACCTGACAGGCTTACATAAACGCATGACCCTGCGAAGGCTGCTGGCTTTATGTGCATTTCTTCTTGCAGTATTCTTTGATTCGTTTCCCTCGGCAACAGCAGAAGTCTTCAGGAGTGTCGATTGTATCGCAAGAAAGCACGCGGGCGATGCCAACGATGGCCTGTATTTGTACAACCGGCCAAAAAAAAGGCAAGTTGTGCTAACCAACCTTGCAAAACTGCGGGCACGTAGAGGTCATTCGTCTTGTTGAGGCTGAGGATTATCGACGCCTGCGCAAGACAGTCGGCCGACGCCTCGGCAACATCTTCGCACTCCTCGGCGTACTGCAAGAACAACGATCGCGGCAGACACGGGATGAACACCGACGAGCATTTTCAGTTGTAATGGCGTGTGCTTGGCGCAAGCACAACCCAGGTAGGCAAAGAGAAGTCCGCGCTCCTGGCTAGTGAGTAAACCGCACGTGTGTGACTGTGTATGCACCGCAGTCAATAATCGTGGTGAAGGAAGCGGCTGTGGGAGAAGATCAGGATGGCGGCAACGTGAGGGAACAACGCGTCACTACATAGGGTGCTATACAAGCCCGTGGAGGTTATGAAAGTGAATCTACCGCGTTCTCACCTTTTTCTCAAAACCCGCAAGCAGTTGCTTGAGGCCAGCGTCCCCGGTTACGAAGCTCACGTAATACAGCCTCATGGCCCCCAGAACAATGATATCGAGGGCTGCTAGAACTGCCACACCTGGATAGAGAGGGAGTGAGAGGGGGAGATAAATAAAGCAGAGAATGAGCCGAATACTGCGATTCTTCGCGTGAGCATTGCTGTCGCTACACACCGATATAGATTATCTAGTCTTTGGACAGAGCGGTATAGCAGCTTCTGCTCCTACCCGTCAAAGCACACGCCCCTAAGATGACCGCCACCACTTTGTAGGCAACGCTCATTTTCCCCGAGGCTCCAGTCTGTGATTGGTACTTCCTCTGGGGGTGATCTGTGGAGAACCAACAGGAACCAACTCACGTTTGCACGCTGGGGTTCAAGCCCTGACTTTCGAACAGTTGAACACCCAAGTGGTTGCACCAGCTGCGCTAGATATCGCTGAAAGCAAACCGTAGCACATATATACACCCGAACAACATCACATTGCACAGACAACAAATGGTTAGGGCGTGAAGGTATCACGTCGTACATGCGAAGGTACCTACTTCAGCGCTCTTGGCATTGTTCGCAGCGCCGTCACCGGACATTGTGCCAGCCAGCAGAGCCGGGCATTTTTTCGCCCCACGTATATAGCTTACAATCGTCAAACTCCACAATGAATGGAAAGCTTTCACCTGCAGAGGTGGTGAACTAAAGGAAGGGCATTCTTACCTGCGGCAAGAGAGAAACAGCAGCAGCACCTGGAGTTCGCCAAATTTCATTAAGTCCGCAGCAGGTCCACGCATCCACGTGCGCGCGGCGAACCGTGTCGGGGGCGTTTGCAGCAATGCGAAAGCCGTCATTCAGGCGGGGGGGTCAGACCATTTGATGAGACAACACAATCCTGGTGAGCGCCCATGAGAAAAGTTTGGGACCTCGCATGAGTCACAGCCAGCCGTCGCGAGGTCCATGGCTGAAAAAATCTACACACGCAATTGTTGTTCCCGTAATTTGATGTACATGTAGCCCACACACGGGCGCCTTGGAACGAACCGCAGAGTTGGGGAGTGGGGTGTGTCTGTGATGGCGCGTCAGCAGTGGATCGTGAATATGGTACGTAGAATAGTGGTCCAGAATTGCGGACTTTTCGAGCCGCTGCAGCCTCTGACTGCGCGTCCCCCCCCAGTACAACAATAGATCTCAGCGTGCCAATCAATGCGGATGCACGTCACTGTTTCATGATGCCCTCTACCGTTATACGCAACAGGTATGTATGTAGCGTCTAGCATCCATCAACGAGGTCTGAGCAGAACACCGTTTTTTCGGTTCTGTGGCGTCCACACACGCATATCTTCAAGGGAAAATCGGAGTAATCAATGCTTGCCGCTGCATTTCATCAGTTTATCAACTGTTCTTTTGTTCGGAAATGCGCTCCTTCAACTTATTACATTGTGCCGTGAGAAAACGCGGGGGTAAAACTCGGGGAAACGAACGAACTACTGTTGTGTACTTCTAGATACGAACGCAGGGAGTAAAGAGATTTTTGAAAAAAAAAGTCGATCCCCGGCTTGCAGGGTTTTGTTGTTGTTGTTGTTGTTGTTGTTGTTGTTGTTGTTGTTGTTGTCTTCACATTCAACTCGTGTCAGTTGCTAGGGGGTAAAGAGATGATGAAAAAAAATGTTGGCCCGCCTTTGGGGGTGATCCCCGGCTTGGTCTGTCATGTACCAAACTTGTCGACATAAAAGACTGGTGCGCAAAATAAGATCTGGGCAAAGCATAACAACAAACACAGGGTGTAGACAAACTGTTGTGGGACATGTGGTAAAGGTGGGCATTGGTAGCGTGTGGGCCGGCATCTGATGAAAATGCCTCCGCCTCGGCGGTCCGCGCTTGCTACTTGTAACATATATATATATCCGTTCGAGAACTTCAAACACCCATTGAACTACACTACGACGGCCTTCTGTCTTGGCGATGCTTGACAGGGAAAGTTGCAGAGTCTCAAGCAGGTTGGCCGAACTGGATCGCCGCATGGCCACCCTGTAACCTGAAACGGGCTGTTGGTTGAACTCTCTCGCAGCGGCGGTGGTTTGACTGTTGGAGTCCCGCAATATGAGTTTCGTGCCTGCACAGAGTGCCCAAGCTCCCATGGGTCGCGAACAAGATACGCCAGAGCAGAGGGAAAACACACACACACAAACAAATAAAAAGCCATACACCCACGCGCATGCTTCCCATGCTTGAACTAGAAAAATGTGGTACCGAACGCACTCACGAATCAACCGGTCCTGGCTGCCACCACCAATCCTTCCTGACGCCGCCCACCCCGTTGAAACGGACTCTTTCGCCTAGGGGTCGCCCTCCGTCGAATTCGCTGCCTACCGGAACATACGCGGTCGGGGGTAGGTTCGCAGTCGCCATCGGTAGGGATGATGGTGTGGTGCAGGGTCGGAGTAGCAATGGCGACCCGCACCGCCGTTCGGTGATGCCTTTGTGTTGCAGGTCCTACGAAAGCGAAGGACAGATTATCACACAACGCCGCCATCGTCTTTTCGGGGGGGCACGTGGTCTGAACATCATAATCATTCGCGCTAGGAATTTTCTGAGAACACTCCGGACCACCAGTGGAGTGTCACCGCGTTTTTTTCGTTTGTTTGTTTTTTGCGTGCCGCGGTGCGGAACGCTGCCCATGGAGTCGTGTGCTGTGCACGAACGGCAGGCAGGACAACCTCAACAACTTTTGTCCTTTCCTGCCGCCCCGCCCTACGCCTTTTTTGGAGTCTTCGTGCAGCGGCACAACAATATTTTTTATCTCAAGTCTAGACTTGAGTATCTCTATTTTTCCGTATTTTGCGGTGTTCAAGGTGGTATCCGGTCGCCCAGATGGTCCAGTTCGTATCCTCGAAATCTTCTATTAGAGGTCAGGTCACGGGTTCGAATCCCGGCGTAAGCGAGCTTTTCTTGCAAAGTGAGTTTTTCTCTCGCGTCCGCTTCTGGCCTAGTGGATAGCGCTAGTTCGTGTGTACACAGAGGGAAGAGAGTGCTGAACTCTTCTCGCATTCAAAATCGAAGGCAAAGTACCGCAGGAGGGGAGGGTAGAGAGAGGCTCTTCCGTGTGCCCACGGGTTGGAGTAAATGGCACTAGTTCTGTGAGCGCTGATTTGAAGTAAGACAAGAACAAAAAAACAAAAAGGTGGCGGGGACCTCCACGATAAGATGATGACATGTATTAAAAGTGCTGTACGCATGTAATTACTGTAGGAAATCGTTCATTGGTTTGAAGTGCAAAACAAACCGCTCTTGATGCGCTGGATCCCCACAGCGCGCGTTGTATCGAACTTGCATTGCGTACCATAGATGCAATACATCACAATTATCTCGGAACCCACCGTGAAAAACTTGCATGTATTGATACCACGCTCTAGATCCCGCATCCCAGCAGATCCTCATATGCAGCGTAGTTCACATTGGATGGTGCCGCCACCTCGTGTGGATGTGGCTGCAATTAGTGTGCATTCATTCGTGTATCTCACCCCGTAGGACGATATATGGAACATGGTGCCTTTACGCCTAGCACACAGGTCCTGGAGCGCACTATTGTATCGGGGGCAGACACTTTGGTGGTCGAGCTGGCGAGGGGAGGGGGTGCATCGCCTTATCCGTTTGGCCCATCCATCCATTCACGTGTCCGCTCTTCAAAAAAATTCAGACCCTGTGTTCTGACTCCCTTCTCGTCTTCTAGTGAGTATCCGCGCCAAGAGCCATAATAGCGCTCCTCCAACACTCGGCTCGACACACCGCCGCAAGGCAAACCGCCGGCCACACTGCCCCGTCGACCCCGCCTCGGAAGCCAACAAAGCTAACCTCACCGAGTCTCCCAAGCCCAACAGAGCCGACGTCACCTAGTTTTGTTTGCAGATCCCCTCCCCTCGACAATGGGCCCCCGTACAACATGTGCACAGGTGCACAGGCCAACAACGAGTCCAACCGAACGAAACAGAGGCTATCCGCGTATCGAGCAGTTTCACAGCCGCACACTTTCGTTCGGGAATGCCCGTACGACAAACAAAAGAAGCATAATATGCATAGTAGGATACAATCGGGGACCAAGTTGGAGGCACAGGATCGGCGCCACAACCGAAAACGCGAGCACAGAAAAAAATGCCCTCCGTGCCCCGTATAACATGTCACCACGTAAAACATGTAGGTAAGAGCGCCAAACGAAATCAGAAAAGAACGACCAGGAAGGACAATAGAAAATTCTCAACCGCCCGGGCCCAGGTTGGGAGACACGAGAAAGAAAACACTTCGAAATGACCTGCCGCAGGGCCTAACAGACAAAAAAAAAAAAAATGGGACAACGTAGCAGCCGGGCACCCCTTAGCAACACCCCGGGGACCCTATGCATACACTGCTCCAGGGCGGACCACATGCCCGGACAGCAGTCTCACCCACGACAGAGCACCAAGCATTAAAAGGTAGCTAACTCGCCAGATAGAGTCGTTTCGCGCCATGCACACCACCTTTTCTCCATTGGGGCATTTCGAACAAAATAGGACGAAAGCCTACACCAGGTCGGCGGTTCACCCCGGATTCCGACAGAACGTCCATGTGCAATGATACCAAAGCATCCCGATTTTCTACGTGGCTTGGAGCAATTTCCTACCCTTCAGCTATTCCTTAAGAGACAAAAGCAACGGCGCAAAACACAATCCACCCAACCCGGTCAATGCGGGCATCAGCTACACAGTTACACGAGCAGTTCCAAGCTTCCTCCGTCCACAGCTATCCCACGCCCACCGCCATCGACACGTCCTGGGGGGCACCGACAACACCGGTTCAACCCCAACTGTGAACACCCCTGGGCCGGAAAATGAAAGAAGGAGAATGAGGCAAAAACTTTCTCAGTAGCTCCGCCCCCACAGCACCCAGCACGTGGCGGGCTTTCCGCTGATGAAGCACGGGGTGCCCTCGGGGAGATCCGGCTGCAGACCACAGAAAAAGCAGAAGAAAACGTGCGCGTTCCGACATTTTCCAGGCGGCGGGGGGTGACGTGACAGGAGGGAGAGGGTGTGAGGGACAGACATCCAGATCACCCCTCGCCAACGAGGGTCCAAAGGTCGGCGGAATAGGAATGAATCCAAACAGGTATACAGCTAGCACGCTGGAATCTTTCAGCATGAAGAGCCGGCGAGTTGGGAGCAAAAGTATGCACCCTCCAAGTGTACCCTCGAAAAACAAGAATCAGGCGTTGTTCCCACGACGTCAAACCTGGCAAGGTCTTCATTCGGGCCTCTTCGTGAATGTGAGCAGCCAACCGCATCGAGCTAAACCTCGAGACTCGAAATCAACAACCACGACAATCACAAATGCTGGAGAGGCAACCACAGGATCTAGGCCGCCTTCATCAACCGGGCACAATCGCCGACCCACTACTCGGCCAACTCCTGCCTTCACAGCAATCCCACAAAACAACAAGCCCATCTTCTCTCTTTCCGCAGCCAGCAAAAGCCAGCAAGACCCCGCTACACAGCAGTGACATGGCGGTAATAATCTCACTATTCACTACAAACGAGCAGCCCACTCCACTGGCGCAACTTCCATACCCGGAAGCCATGCTCACCCTAAGTTCTTCGGCCGTGTTGCCCTCCAACATATACATTTGAGTTACATAAAAACTTCCCGTTCCAGAGATAACTACAGTAAAAAAACGGGGTGTGCTTTTGAATCACCTGGTCGTGGGGAATGCAGAGGGTCTTCGCCGCAACCGAAGTTGCCGTTGTCGCCAGCTCCACCTCGCCTTCCTTCAGAGCCTCGGCGCGGGACAGAGTCTTCACCTTCTCCTCCCACTCGGTCTCGTTGCAGAACGGGGTCAGCACGATGTCGTTCCTGCGCAAAACCGCGTGTTTTGGCGAAAAGCGTTCGTCACGTGTGCGTGCGCCTTGGGTTTCGTAGTTTCGGATCCGCTTACCGCAGTTTCTGCCGTGGTGTGTAGCAGCTGTGTTCTCGAGGGGAAACGCTATTGCTCCCAGGATTTTGAGCAGGAGCGAAACCGTTGTTGGTCCGAAGTTTGATCAGCGCTTCCTCGTTTTAACACTGCCAACGCCAGAGACTCTCTGGAAACTCTGTTATGTTGTTCGAACAGCGGTTGTCGCTGCGCAGAATTTGGAAGCGGGCTTGAGATGCCTATCCGTTGTTCGATGACAGACAAAAAGGAAGTAGGCCGAGGGCCATAGTGGTACAGCACCATCGAGGGTGATTCCGCCCTAAAAAACAGCGCCAAGAAGAAAAAACAAACCCAAGTACTGCGGCAACCACGTCGTTTGGGGATGAATACACACCCAACCGCAGCGTACAATAGTACGAAGTTCAGATATCGTGGAATGCAGCATTCTTCATAAGAGACAAAGGCATGGGCACAGACCCATGAGCGAGACGTACGAAACAGGAAGAGAGTGGAGGTGGAGAGAACGCACAGGTACAAGAGAGCATGATGCCAAAAGAAACACCAACACAGAGAAGTGAACGCCCACCTGTTTAGCGCCGGGACGAAGTCCTCCCACTCGGTGACGCGCGTGAAGTGGTCGTCGCGTTCTGCGGTCAGCCTAGCCAAAAGGTTAGCCTGAAAACCATTTCGGGATTACGGCCAGGGTTAGAAGCAGTCAATCCGTGAACTGGAGGATGTCATCGACAAAACAGAAGCAAGAGACCCCACGGCCAAAAACCCATAGCCGAAAATCAAACGGGCTCCTTCCTTAACACGTATCGACTTAGGCCTGCTAAAAGAGGCCTTTCGTCCCGATCAATCAGTCAAAACCTGCAACATGCCATGAAAAGGTCGTGAGTGGGGAGCCAGCTCGCTTTGCTCCGACCCGGCATCCCTCACCACAACGGAACCCTGTGACGGACGTCCTCGAACTCTAACCACGGCCAATGCGGCTGCGGAAACTTGGCGGTCAGGCTCTGCATGTTTGACGAACGCGGTGAATCGGTCTAGGAAACCGCAACATCACGCATTAGAAAAACTGAGACAATAAGTATGCCGGAACCAGTGAAACCCCAGGAGCCAAATTCACCCACAAATTACATGTACAGCCTTTTTTCTGTGCATGACATTTGTGGGTGAATTTGGCCCCAGGGTTCACCATTTCCCTGTTACTTAACAGCCTCAGGTTTTGTAACGCATGACCGATTCACTGCGTTCGTTAAACATGCAGAGCCTGACCGCCAAGTTTCCTCAGCCGCATTAACCCTGGTTGGATATCAAGGACATCCGTCACAGGGTCCCAAAAAACCGTGTTGGACGAAGGTTCCAGGATGGTCACCTCGATGGTATCAGGAAGGCGGTGTCGCCCATATTACTCCCCCCCCCCGGCATCCCTCAACACACCCGAACTCTGTCACAGACATCCTTGAAATCCAACACAACCATTGGAGGGTCACCAGGACGGTCTCGAGAAGGCAGTGAAAAGCTTACTTTACTTTCCCGGGCATTTGTCACCACACCCGAACTCTGTCACGTCGCGGACGGACATCCTTCAAAGCAAATACATAAAAAACAACACAGGCGGGGGTCCAGCCGGTCACACCTGGATGGTCTCGAGGAGTTCCACCACCTTGGACGTGATCTCGTCCTCGGGCACCGTGATCTTCTCCCCCGTGTCCCTTCTCGCCATCACCGTCTGCTTGCTCTCGATGTCGCGGGGCCCCACCTCCAGCCGAATGGGCACCCCCTTCTGCTCCCAGTGGTTGTACCTGCGGCGTGCGGTTGCAATCGAGAAATTGGCTCTCGAAGTCCAGTCTGGAGAACACCAAACTGAACGAGAACAATTTCCGAATGGGACGCTTCTACATCATGGCCTAAGTTCGTCCGCGTGCACAATCAAATACCATAGTTTGTGTGTACAGCAGGACAGCAGTGCTGTACACAGCAGAGCCCTCTCTGTACGAAACAGCAAATCCATCATCCAGCGTCCAAGTCCACTTTGAACGTCGGCCAACAAAATATTGTTATTTCGGAGCTCACAAACAACCGTGAACAACGAAGATACACTACATTAGAGCCGAGAACACACGGGGGTACTGCTTCGCGACGAAAAAACAGTCTGCGAAGCCCCCCAAGTTCGTCTGGTAAGTGACACAAGACAAACTAAGCATACATTTGACGGTTTCGTTACAACAAAAAATACGTCTGGCAATACGTGCGAAGACACAGCCCATGTGCAAGGACGAAACTGCTCTGCGGCCCTCGATTGGATAACGAAAAACCGCGCAACATCTGGTGATGAAAAAAAAAAAGCACAACAGTCAATCAAGTCAGGTCAACATCTCACTTCCAGCCGGCGGTGTAGTTAATCCTGTCGTCAAACTTGACTCGCACGCCGGCAGCCTTGAGGCTCTTCACGATGGGGTCTGCGAACTCAACGATCGTCTCCAGCTTCACCTGGCCAATCAGCGACCAGACAAGGGCGACCAAAGGCGAGGCCAGGGAAAACAAGTGAGGATACGGGCGGGAGAGGGGGAGCATGGAGGGGAACAGAGAGAAAGATAGGCACACAGGAGAGAGAGAGATCGGGTACGTGGCACGGTAGCAGAAAAAAGGCAGCGGGGTTGATGTTGATGTTCTCCTCTATTTCCCTGTCTCAACGAGGTGCGGAACATCAAAAGCAAAAATCAGAATGAAGATTTTATTGGTCCAAGACCAAAAATAACGCCCTATCTGGGTGAAGCTCTCCCTGACTACGAGCCAAAGGGTCCGCGAGGGGTTAGGTATGGGAGGGGGAAGACTGCTGTGCCATAAATACACCTGAGACTGACGTATTTTCATTGGTTAGCAGGTCAGTGCGGTCAGTAATAATTCAACAAGAACACAAGGATACCTTCTTGGTAACGATGGGGATGATGACAGCCTGCAGGGGAGCCACCCTCGGAGGCAGCACCAGGCCCTGGTCGTCCCCGTGGCACATGACGCACACACCCAGAGTCCTGCACGTACGAGAACACGACAAGCACGCACACCAGCACGGGCGCTCGGTCACAGGGTCCCAGATTGTGACCTTTAGATAGAAGCATTTTGTGTTTTCCATCGCACTGAGACTGACGTCTTTTCATTGGTCAGCCGGGTAGCGCGGTCGATGCAAAAAAAAAAGACGCACAAACACAACAAAAAAAGGCAAGCAAAAGCGAGGTAGATAAAATAGGACAAATCAGCATCAGGACGCATACACTCTCCGACAACAAAGGCACCAGAGACACGACCAATAACAACACATCTTGTGCTCGGAATGCACAACTACATACTCCCCGTCCGTCCCTCTACAAAAATCACTCGGTCTCTCTACTAAAATCACTCGAAATCACTCGAAATCACTCGGTCCCTCTACTAAAATCAATCGGCCCCTCTGCTATAATCACTCGGTCCCTCTATACTATAATCACTCGGTCCCTCTGCTATAATCACTCGGTCCCTCTACTACAATCACTCGGTCCCTCTACTATAATCACCCGGTCCCTTCTGCTATAATCACTCGGTCCCTCTACTATAATCACTCGGTCCCTCAACTACAATCACTCGGTCCCTCTGCTAAAATCACTCGGTCCCTCAACTACAATCACTCGGTCCCTCTATGAAAATCACTCGGTCCCTCTACCAAAATCACTCAGTCCCTCTACTATAATCACTAAGTCCCTCTGCCAAAATCACTCGGTCCTTCTACTAAAATCACTCGGTCCCTCTACTAAAATCACTCGGTTCCTCTGCTAAAATCACTCGGTCCCTCTACTAAAATCAATCGGTCCCTCTACTAAAATCAACCGGTCCCTCTACTAAAATCAACCGGTCCCTCTACTGAAAGCCCATATCGGCAAGGCCTGCTGCGATCAGGCTGGGTAGCCAGAAAAAAAAACGAGCGTTTCGTGCCAATTCAACCAAACACGCACCCAAGTCACTAAAAAATGAATTATTCATTGATGTTGGAAAAAGAGAGGCACGAGCAGACATCAAATAATGGAATATAACAACAATGGCGTCGCGCCCATGGCCACAAAAGGCCCCCAACCCCTTCCGTAAAAGCATACAGCAGCAATGCGTACGTAGGCACGAAGGAGTAACTATTGTTGCCAGGATGAATCAAGCGACCCAACTACCGCGCGAAACGCCTGACCTTGTGGTGAGGCCCCAGCTTGTCTGCCACGGGATTGCCTGCTCCCCGTTCTCGTCCTCGTACTGGATCCTGCGTGCGTTACCATTGAACGCACAAGCACAAGCGAAAAGGAGAAAAACAATCATGAGACGCATCCAGAGGGCAAGATAAGCGTGGGTGTTTAGATATTAGCATCGACCGCGCTAACCGGCTGACCAAACAAAACACGATGTGCTGCCAAAAAAGCGGGAAACGCTTCAAAAGGCCATGATCTGGGACCCTGTGAGGGGGGGAGAGGCTCGGCTTTTCTCCAGCAAAGGCCTTATCTGGGACCCCGTGAGGGGGGGGAGGCTCGGCTTTTCTCCAGCTTAAAGCCAGAAACGGTAAAAAAGCGGGAAACGCTTCTAGAGGCGATGATCTGGGACCCCGTGAGGGGGGGGGGGGGGCTCGGCTATTCTCCAGCTTGAAGCTAGAAACGGTAGCTCTACCGAGCCTTTTATTTGTATTTTTTGTGACTCACTCCGCGTGCTGTTGTGGTTCGATTGTCTGCCTAGTCTTCACTATCCCCCCTCTTGACAACATTGCCGCCTATCGTGGGTATCAACTTCCGTGTCCCACCTTCAACAGACAACTCGCTTGAACATCTTGCTCAAGTCTCCGTCTCTTTCATCCCAATCCAGCTTTAACAAATAAACCCACTTGACCCTTACAAACTCCGTTCCATTAATCGATAACTCCCTTGAACATCTTGCCGAATAAATCTTGCCCGAAGTCTCTTGTCCCATTCATCCCAAACCAATTGTAACAAACAACCCACTTGAACCTTACCACCCCTGTTCCATTGTTCCACTAGTCAATACTGTAACTCACTTGAACATCTTGCCGAAGTTCTGTCCGAGATGGTGACTGGTGGCCCCCTGGATGGCCCTGCCGGTGCCCGAGATGTACGCCTCCACCGTCGTGGTCTTGTGCCCCCCCGCAAACTTCTCCGCTTCGGTCTTCGTGCCTGCGCCCAATCAGCAAGGAAGCATCGTCCGACACACACAAGGTTCGTTTGTCCCTTTAAACACTATAATAGGAGAGATCGACGTACGCACGTACTGTACATACGTAGGTCGCCATCTTTACAAGGCCGGGGTCCCCTGTGTGTGGAATCACTCCGTCGAAAATTGGAAAGGAGAGTCGTTTCGTGGGTGGTGGACTGGTGGACTAATAAAAACGCCAACGAGATTTTACCCTTCCAGCCAGGTCGGAACAATCTCCAAGAGGTGGAGGAACTTGCTTTCAAGGGCGCACATTATGAAAGAGGCGGAGGAAATATATAGTCACTCGTGCTAAAAGGCCGCGTATGATAGAGTGCCTCCCAGCACTGGGTGTAAGATTTTACGGAGCCCTAAATTTCCGCGGAACCCCGTCATCCCGCCCCATCTTAACGGTATCCCATCCCGTGCCCGATACAAGCGCGAATACTACGATGGTCCCTATCTTCCGGACAGAGTGGCATGTGTATTGATATTTGGAAAACGATATATCTCTGTCTCTGTCTGCCTCTGTCTCTGTCTCTGTCTCTCTGTCTCTCCCTCTCTTCTCTCTCTCCCTCTCACCCATGATAACCGGGACCGCCAGCAGCTCCTCGTACACCCTGCGGTACAACTCCAACGCCTGGATCACCATCTTGTCCGCGTCCTCGAAGCTGGCGTGCGCCGTGTGCCCCTCCTGCCACAGGAATTCCCTCGTGCGCAGAAAGGGGGTGGGGTTCTTGAACTCCCATCTGCCAAGAAAAACAACAACATAAACAAAACGGCGGGGAAAAGGGAAAAGGGGGGACAAGCAGGTGTTACAGATGATTTCACGACGGTTGGAAAACACGGTGTAGGAGATGGCTTGGGTAACTCCAAACTCCAAACTTCATCGCGACCATCGCAAACAGGACGACTTCTGGAGAGCATCGAGATAGAGATAGAGATAGAGATCTCGGCAAGGCGATTGATCCACAACAAAGGTTGATAAGTATGTTGCGAGCTAGTGTGTGCAGTGCATCCATCGCCCCCAGACCGCCTGAAGACGTATATAGTGTTAAGTGCCACGAGGAAGAAGCATGTTCGGCGTTCCGCGGTAGAGAGAAAAAAACGGTGCATCCTACTAGACTTGCACCTCTCGCCGACACATGCAGCCGCGCGGAATACACAGCCCGCGCAATGCGCCCTACGATACGACTCGGGGCAAGAAACGACACGAGCAAACGACCCATCAGGCGCAAGCACCTGACAACGTTGCTCCACTGGTTGAGCTTGAGCGGCAGGTCCCGATGACTCCTGATCCACCTGGAGAAGGCGGGGTACATAATGGTCTCCGAGGTGGGGCGGACCGCGATCGGCTCCTCGAGATCATCCTCTCCGCTCTGCCAACACCACAAAACGAAGAGGACAAAAGACGGACGAGCATGGGGGAGCAACGGGCGGCACAAGACATTTCATCGCCAGCGTAAGATTTGCAAAATATTTGCTATGTAAAGGAGCCATTGGGTACGTAGAAATATAAGTCTGGCGATTGGGTAAAACTAGATATGACGTCATACTGCGGGCTCGATTGTATGTATACATGTATTAAAAAAAAAAACGTTGCAGCTCTCAGTAGCCAAGTCCAAACGCAGAGGGGGCACTACGGTATGGGGCACTACGGAATGGGGCGCTACGGTATGGGGCAATACGCTATGGCGCAGTACGGTATGTACCACCGGGGGTGCATTCGTTCGGAGCCGGGACCCCGCATCTGTCGTACCTTGGTTACCCACGCCACCTCCGCGGCGAAGCCTTCGACGTGCGCCTTTTCCGCCTCCAGCGCTTTCTTCGAAACGAACAGGGGGAAGTACGAGTTCTGCACACACAACAAAAAACCAAATGACGGACGCACAAAAAAAAAAAAGCCACGGGTTAGTCTACCGCTGGCATCACTTCGGAATTTTTCTCGACATGGATAAGGGAAACACGAGTCATGCAAAACAAACATGAAGAATGATGCAAGAAAAGAGAAATGGACAAGCCGAAACATTTAGCACATTTTCCGACATAACTGCTGTCGACAAGTAAGAAGGATAAAAAACGTCCGCACCAAAGCAAGCGAGAGGGTTATGCCTTCGGCGCAACTGTTGGCATGAAACGGGGAAAGCGAGCACACATGCTGCATCAACGACAAAATTACAGTACAATACTCCAAGTACAACACGAACGAATCAAATAAGTAGAATAGAACGAGACCTCGTCCCGATGATATCCACAAACCGGTCGCATTTATCCAGCTAAATAAATCAGCGGTGTGGTTTGCAAATCGTCATTTCATGCATACCTGGACATCGAGCTCCTTGATCTCCTTGTCCATCCACTGCTGGATCGCTTCCCACATCTGGTACGCCCAGGGACGGAGGATGTAGCAGCCGGAGATGTCGTAGTAGTCGATCATCTCCGACAGCGTGATCACCTGTTGGCATCGTATGGCACGGTAAATAAGACGTTCAGAAATCAAGAATTGTAGACCAATTGTGTGCCTCAAAGTTGATTTGGAATCGTTCGCATGGCAAACCAAGAAAAACAAAAATTCACCCAATCGAAATTTGTAAACGAGCTAGGTATGTACGGAGTACCCCGAGCTTGATTCGGAATCGTGTATCAGGGGACGTTCAAAATTCCTTCTACAGGTCCAGCCACAACCTCTACCAGCGAATTCCGTACGACGTCCCAATTATCACCGTCACCATCATCACCACCAATCTCCTGCACGTTATGTTGTACTCCGCATCATCAACACACCGAAAACGACGAGGACTTCATCATCGGATGGACGAAATCACTCCCTCTTGTCGTCGCCGTCGCCGAGCCAACACACACAGTCTCGCTGCATCAACAAAAAGACGCATCCATCGCCTCCCAAGACTCATCCATCCCTTCCACGCTATACCCCACTGCGCCAGGTGGGTAAAAAGCCGTCGCATTTGATAGCGGTCGGCTACGCCAGCAGTACCCCCCCCCCCCCCCCCAAAGCGCCACGAAAAAACAGCCCCCATCGTACCGATGTCGCGGGCCAGGACACGCGTCCTCCGACTGCGCTGCCGACCGCGCCCACCTCTCTGTACCACTGACGCATTTCCTACTAAAAATCGGGGGCCCCAACAGGAAACACACAGAGCCCCCCCCCCCCCGCCCAAACGTGCCTAAAAAAATCTACCTCAACGGGATGTGTGACCGCCCTCGCGTGTCAGGATACGCGCCCTCCAACTGGCACTGATGCGGCCCGCACTCTCACCTCTCTGTACCAGGTGGGGAAGTCGTCGAACTTGCTCGCGGTGATGGCCAGGAGCGTCTCCTTCTTCATGCCCGCCTTGCTGTTGGGGTCGCTGCGCTCGTGCTTGACCTTCTTGGCCGCCTGCTTGGCCTTGGCCACCGACTTCTTAGCGGCGTTAGGGTCTGTGGGTGGCGGTGTCGCCGTTTTTTGGTGGTGGTGGTGGTGGTGTCGCCACGCCGAAAGCAAAACCGAGACAGACAAACAGACAGAGGGATGGACAGACACACACACACACAGAGAGAGAGAGAGAGAGAGAGAGAGAGAGAGAGGAGAGAGAGAGTTCGGACACACAAAAGGGTGGGGGGGGGGCAGGAGAACCGAAACCAAACCGGGGGTCCAAAAATTTTGACAAGAGCTGACACACATACACGCGAGACAGAAGCACAAAAGACAAGACTTCACGAACCCACAGCGCGAACTCCTCCCATCACCACACGACCACGACACACGCGTGACATGATAACACGTACCAAGAAATTGACAAAAAAAGAAAGCCAAGGAAGAAACGACACCCACACCAACGAGTCTTTGTTAGTGATGCGAGAACATCCCCCCGTACGAGGGAACCGTCTTCGTGAGGAAATGGAACAGGGAGGGGGTACGCAGACTGTATCCCCATCCCTACCTACAACCCTGACCCAACTTCCCCGATTGCATGCTTTATCCAACATGTTTCCTAAATGGAAAACCCCCGAGAAGGCTACTCTGCCTACGAGCACTTGTATAACGACGAGGAGGAAATGACGAAGAGGTAAACTGGAAGCAGCCAAGAACAAGTGCTTGAACGTAAACGGACTAAAGGGGTTGGCTCACCAATCTTGACCGCGGCCGCGTTCCGGACGCTTTCGGGGTCTGCGGGAGCCTCCTTGACCGCGGAAAAGTCCAGCACCGTAGGCGCGTGTCCGCAGGCAGTCACGTACTGAATGACAGAGGCACGACAGAAGAGAATCGATTTCAACGGGGGGTGGGATGATAAAAATCAGTAAGTTGGCGTCCGCGTAGTCAAGAACAGTTCCAGCACTAGGTTACTTGTTTCACTCTTGGCAGATCTGGTGAACAGAGCTTCTCAGGAAAAACAACGCTCATGACGCAGTATGATATGTCACCAGTGTCATGTTACAAGCGATCTGTGCTACGGCAGTAGTACAGCAGTGAGCAAGCAAGGAAACAAAAGCGTGGGTCACACCTTCGTGACAGGCGTGCGGATGTACACAGTAGACGTGAGTCTACAACCACATGGAGTTTGGTTCAAAGAGAGAAGAGAAAAGGATGTTGTACAGTTGCTGTACTATTGAGCTGGAAGGAAACAGAGTGAGTTCCGGGGGGGGGGGGGCGGGAACCTATCTAATTTGTCTTGGACTTTTCCTTGGGGCGTTCTTGACCATCGTTCAAGGAAAATGTGACGTATCTAGGAACATTCTACGAATCGGTGCGGAACCTACCGCATCCATCAGGATCGTACTATATTCCAAAGTGGTAATTCTTCACCAACTTATTGTACCGAGAAAAGTGAGCCACATCCCGAATACTCAAACCGGTATCGTTTTGTGCTTCGAAATCGCTCATGATGTACGCGACATTGTTTACTTCCTGTGTTGTATATTCATGACATATTGAATGATATTTCGACAGGGGAGAGTTGTGGTCCGAGGTTTGCGGCAACCATCACGGCCATACCGTCACACGATGAAACAGAACTTGTACATTTCTCCCTTCCAACAACAAAAATAGCACTCCTCCCTCCTGCCTTACCCCGGCTCATGCCTACACAAAACTAATATTCACCTCTGTGTTATTATTTATTACCGCCGATATCGGAACGGCTATCGATGAGAAGACAACCCCACCAAAAATAAAACACGGTGCAACATCATGCAGCAAAAACAAACAAAGCACTCCGAAGACGTCAGTCACCCAGTCACCTCCCAACACGGCACAACCCACGCGCACCTTGACGAGATCGGCCGCCTTGATGCGCACGCTCCGGTCGTTCCTGAGGGGGTGCACCAGCACCTCCTCCGCCTCCATGACCGACTTGTCCATCGCAAGCCTGGCCACTCCCTCGACGTCGTTCACCACGGCGAGGGGACTAACGGCTCCTTGGACCACCCCGAGAACTGAGTCGAGGGTAGCCGCGTCGGCGAAACGGAGGGAAACCTGCAGGGGGGGCAAGGGGGGGGGGGGGGGGGGGGGGGGCCCCTTCCCCTTTTTTTTTGGAGCCCTAACGGGTAAAACCTTTGCCCCCCCCCCCCCAAAGGGAGGGGAATTTTTTCCCCCGGGGGGGGGGGGGGGGGGGCCCCAAAACCGGGGGGCCCCAAACCTTTGACCCTTTGCCCCCCCCCCCCCAAAAACCGGGGGGGGAACCCCCCGGGTTTCCCCCGGACCAGGGCCTCCAAAAAAAGGGAAACCCCCCGGGGGGGGGGAGGGGGTGGTCTTTTTCCCCAAATTTTAAAAAAGTCCCCCCCCCTTTTCCCCCACCCCAAAAGGGGGTTATTTTCCCCCCCGGGGTTTCCCCCCCCCCCAAAAGGGGAACGCGGTGGGGGTGGGGG